CATAAATGACGTCACGCGATTTTGTACGATTTTTTTACCCCCTATCGTCACACGGCGTCACAAAAAGTCAGACCACCCCTCAAATATGACGTCACAAAGCTCTGCCCCCCCCCAAAAAAAAACAAAACTGCTTCAAATCGCTTTAAACTATTGCCATTGTAGTGCGTATTTAATGTGGCGCTGCACTCTGATGTTGTAGGAGAAAACATTTATTAAAACGTCTATTTAATTAAGTAGAACGTGTTGTCTATATTTATTTAAAGTTACGCATTTTGATGTGACGTCACATTTCTCAAACCCCCCCCCCCCCCCTTGTCACACATCGTCACAAATGTCTGACCCCCCCCCCAGGTGCGTGACGTCATTTATGGACGGCCCCTTACGTGCCTATGCTTAATTTGCCTTTTCGATTATTTACCTTCTAAAAAAAAAACAGGCAGTGTCTCGCACACCCAAAAAGTGCGTGCACCCCAAGTTAACAACCACTGGTCTCGTCTGGTGAGTCCGGTAATGAGAATTTTCTGAATGTATTTACATAGTTACATTATCATCGTCATGTTCACAATGGACACCACACCCGGCTGTGTTTAATCTTTTATCAGTCCATCCCTGGGGTTGTATCGTATTCGTGAGAGATCACGTGTCTCAATGGGTTCCCACCATGTTATAAACAGTTACCGTACTCTATCTCTGAACCACGACCCCACTGCAACAGCCCCGAGTCTCCCGCGCATCTCCATTTATATACCAACACGAGGCCACGCCTCCCTTCTCGATCATTCTCACTGACTCTGGACGCTCACTCCACCGTCAGGCTCTACCGTCCTCTTCCGTCACCTGACCACGCTCCCTTCTAAAACATTCCCGTAGCCATCGGTCCCTTCGCACTCACAACTGACTCCCCTGCCATTACCACCCGTGGCCACCAGTCCCTTCGCACTCAACTGACTCCCCTGTCATTACCACCCGTGGCCACTAGTGCATTCGTACTGCAGGCTGACTCCCGTCATTACCTCCCGTGGCCACCAGACCCTTCGCACTCACAGCTGATTCCCCTGTCATTACCTCCCGTGGCCACCAATCCCTTCGCACTCACAACTGACTCCCCTGGCATTACCTCCCGTGGCCACTAGTGCATTTCACACTGCAGGCTGACTCCCCTGTCATTACCTCCCGTGGCCACCAGTCCATTCGTACAGTAAGCTGACCTCCCTGTCATTATCTCCAGTGACCACCAGTCCATTCGTCCAGTAAGCTGACCTCCCTGTCATTATCTCCCGTGGCCACTAGTCACCTCACATCGCATGCAGGTTCTATTGTCATTACACATACGGTGCTCTTGATCTGCTGTAAAGTGGGGGGGAGAGGAACTATATCCACCGGGTTCCATTATCCATGGGGCTGGGGGTTCGGCAAATCTGCGGCTTCCGATCTGCATCGCGGCTCTTGAAGGACTGCTGCTTTGTGCGACGTTATCTATCCAATGACCAGCACCGCCATCTCGTATTCACCACGTGGCATTGCGGCTCACGAAAAAAATTGATCTTATACCCGTCAACCCATCACTGTTTTCCCCGTATTCTTGTACAGGGAAATTGAGTTTTCAGGTCCATACAGCATACAGCCGTTTCAATACGGGCAAAACATTTTTTGATTTGTGTTTCTCCCTCGTGATGGGACTTTGTAGGAGAAACGTTGCGATTTGTAAGGGGGCATGGGGTGACCAACGAGGCCTGAATTGGTCTGTAATAAGGTTGGCACTGATAAGGGGTTGACAAGTACGTCTTCTTGTTATTTTGGTTTGTCAACCCCTTCAGGAAAAGTTTCCAGATAACTCGCAGTATAGAGCCGCGGATAATCGAGGGATTTTAGCCCAAAGGATGACAGCAGATATGTTTGCAAACGAGTTGTACTGTACATACTATATCCAATGCAATATACTTTCAATGTTAATGCTTGCCTTGTGATAAAAATTTAGTTTCTCCCGGCGCTTGTAAGTCACCCGACAGGCGAAAAAAACTTTGCCGGGTCTCCAACGGAATCTTCAAGGAGCCGAAGGTTTTGGTAGTTCATGTCTCACGGCATAACCCAACTTGGTGGCAATCGACTCCGTGAGCTCTTGCTGCCCGTATGGCCCTGCGTGAGACTTCAAAAAATAAAAATACGGTCATTGATGAACCTAAATAGGACCTTTGTTGCCAGTATCAAACTATGAAAAAATAAATTTCGATTTAAAGCTTTCGTGACTGCAGGGATCCATGTTCTTGGTTCTTTCGGTAAAGTCACGTAGAAGGGAAATAATAAAAATAAAATTCTCACGACGTTTCGATTTCAACACAAGCAATCATCATTACCGCCACTTTTTTTTCAAATTTTCTTGACGTGGTTTTTCACACCTGATGATGATTGCTTGTGTTGCAATCGAAACGTCGTGAGAATTTTATTGTTTTATTTGTATTACTTTATTTCCCTTCTACGTGACTTTACCGAAAGAACCAAGAATATGAAAAAATAACAGGTTTCACCCTTTCTGGCAATAAAACAGGTGTTAAGATTTTGATTGCAAGCTTTCGTGACTGCAGGGATTCATACTTTTTGAAATTTTCTTGCTGTGGCTTTCACACCTGATGATTGCTTGTGTTGCAGTCGAAACATCGTGAGAATTTTATTGTTATATATTTTTATTATGTTTCCCTTCCACGTGACTTTACCGAAAGAACCAAGAATGTGTGTTAAGATGTTCAAACGCCAAATATATACCTTTTGGTGTTCTCTGGTCTGACACAAAGAAGGCCAGTTTCAAAGACAGTGTACATGATCAGAGCGTGTTTGTTTGCATGTTCACCACAAGTAGCGTGTGGTTAATGCAGGAACTTGACTCCTTGCAAAAGGTTTCTGTATGGTGTTTGAACATCTTAACACCTGTTTTATTGCCAGAAAGGGTAAAACACCTATTATTTGTTTATGTTAATGAAACAAACTGTCCACATTCTAGATTTGAAGTTTTCGTGACTGCAAGGATTCACTCTTTTTGTCCACATCCCAATGAAGAATACTCAAGGAGTCCCATGATGAATACTTAACATTAGTAGTTAATAATGAACGGGACTCTTACGAGACATGCAGTTTTCTAAAATCAAAAGACAAAACGGCTTGGAGGGAGGAGGGGAACAGAAAAGTGTTTCCAATATTTAACTCTTTTATTCATACATTTGTACCGGTCCAATTTCAAAACGGATTATTATGGACTGCACAACGTGTAATACCTTCAGTAAGAGAACAGTGGCCGAGGGTAATATTATAACAGACGCGTTTCTCAAGCGACTTTCAAAAGGCGCGATAAGGGTTATATAAAGACGGCGTCAACCCACAACGGGCTCAATGACTTGCGTGCAACAGCAGATAAGAACAATGTACAAATGCGTGAACAATATCGTGCGAGCTTGACAAAAGCTTAACGAGGCAACTATTCTTTCCGTGGGTGTGCAATCCCCGCGTTTACGGGTGGTTAGCCACTAACGCCGTGATGCCGCGTTGCCCGGTAAATTAAAAGTGTGCTTGAAAAAACATCTCTCCCGACTTCGCATGCTCGGCATGCATCGCAGGATAGACAGCGTCGGTGAAGGTTTGGCGTCGCCGTGGGTGGGACGAACGTCGCGCTCCCCGAAACGCCGACAGAAAACTGCTGCGGTGACCCGACACTGAACGGCATCGCAAAGCAGGACGGGCAAGTGTTTTGGGTTTATAATTGTTTTTTTGTTTTTCACACACGAGCTATTATTGCATGTTAAGCGCTTGCTTCACTCAAGTGAGAATGGTGCCAAAAAAAAAAGCATCCGTCTCCCCGTACATTTTTACACGTTTTTATTTACTTAGATATATATTTTTTAAATGTTACATTTTTTTTCATTGTCAAAATGACAAATTCATTTCCCGTTGGAAATTCTTGCCAAGCCTTGGCAAGCAGCTTAAACACTGTCCGTCAAGAGGAAGGCCTCAGAAGAGGATGTTAGAGAACTACTTCTGAAGTCACTTCAATAGGCCTCCTTCATCCATCACACCCTTTTTATGCCCAGCAAAGTTCACCACACATCAGCTAAACGGACATCGCTTTCAATTTTTTTACGCGGTCCGTCTTAATTTAGTGAAAATGCAAAATGTAATTACTTTGGTGGTCTCAGTCCAGTCACATTTTGTGACTTGGCTCAGACCCATCAACTCGCTAAATTTGATAACTCAGTTTTTAACCGTCCAGATTCGACACCAGGATTCTCAGCAGTGCCACGTAAATCGTCCGACATGATATGAACCTCCTGAAAGAGGACTTATTATTTTTTTTCAATCAAACTGATGACGAAAACACGAGAGAATTGACGAGAGCAACAAAGTACAGGACAGATACAGACCCAAAGAGACAAAAGCAGCGGACTGCCACACACAGGAGGACAGAGGGGCGGGCGAAGTGAAAGAGGTCGAATCAGACCTGGGGTCAATTACAGTGAACAATTACAGCAGCCTCGTTAACTCAAGCAACGACCGCAATTGCGTGGTGATCGGAATTGAGTACAGATGACACAATTTACAATCGTAATTGATCCAGAGTCTGGCTTGAATAGAAGTTTTCCTGTTTGTAAGATTATACTCTCTAGAACGGGGGAGCGGCTGTGGAGCTCATTCTAGCGGAAGCCCTTCGCTAAATTACAGTGCGGTACACATTTGTACCTCTGTTTTTTCAAAAGCTTGCGCGAGCGAACTAATCTCCCCAGGGGCACTCGCTGTGACTAAGCAAGCGCCGTGGGTGCGTGGTGTGTGTGTGTGTGTATGTGCACGTAGCCTGGCACAAGCGCCGTTGAGACGTCACCTCCACTTAGCGGCGAACGGCGGTTGCTGTCGGTGTGTGTGTGCGCGTGTGTGCGCACGGGGGGGGGGGGGGGGGGTAGGAGCGGGGAAGAGCTGGTCAGTGAATGAATGGGTCAGCTTCGGCTCGGGCTTTAGTGGAGTGCGTGCCGCCGCCGTTGGCGTCGTGCTTTGTACGTTCGGAGAGCTTTGGGGGCGTGGGACGAGAAGGCACGACGGACTTTGCGTGATGCTCAGGCGAGGGAGCAGTAGCCCCCACAGCTCCCAGCGCCCTGTGCCGCTTCGTCTTTCGCAAGATGCACGCCGGAGCGGCTTTGGCCCTGACCCTCGCTCTCCCACAGGCCGGGCGTCTGGATGATCTTTTCCACCAGCTCCTCGAAGGCGCACTGCACTCCGTCTCGCGTCTTAGCGCTTGCCTCTGAGCAGCGTGCACGCAAGCGATGGTGGAACACGCGCACACACACACACACAAAGATCCCCCGCCGTGTAGCCTTTAATAGACTGTTAGGGGCAAGTGCTGTTAAGCGAGCAGCATGAAGGCCGGCACGGCATACGAGGAGAGGTGTTGGTGGCCAACACCACGCCCGGCCACCTCTGTCTCCCCAGTGGCGATATTTATACACGCAGCACCAGGTACCCATTTAAGGCCGAGTCGACCTAGGGGAGGCCCGGGACCGGTTCAGATAATCGTCACCGCTGTTTGTCGTAAACGGGAATAGAAATTGCGTCTGCCCGGTTCGTAGCACAGCGCGCTAACCGCTCCACCGCCCCTAATCCCACACACACAGGGGTCAAGCGCTGTGCGACAAAAGCAGGATGCGTGATTATTTGGACTCGTGCCCCTCTTATCACACAAATACGATCGCAAAGGAACTTTGCTTTGCAGACTGATATTGTCTGCCAGGAGGGGTAAAATGTCAGTGATTTGTGGGTAATTTTCTTTTTTTTTAGGGGAAATCTGGACCGTGATGCCGTCACAGATGGCGAACGCCTTTTAAATAACATCACAGGGCCTTTCACGTTCACAGGTATGGATAGACAAAATGGTTGGAAGCTTTAAATACGACAAAGCTAGTTTGCGGTGCTAAAAATCTGGTTAAATAAAAGAAAATGCGTTTACTACGTTGTCTTAGGGGTAATCCAATACAGTAACACTGTCATTCATCCTTATCACATGCATTATTTGACAGTGTCAGAATGTGTCAATTTGATTCTGGCTCATAGGGATTTAGGTAAAAGCAGAAGTAAATGTGTAAGCTGCTGACAGTTACTTGCACTGCATTCTAAAGATTATACTATGCTCCCAAAAGTAAGATGCACCCCATACTTGTGCCTGGTGTCAATAAAGTTATACAAATCTAGAAAACACACACCTCAAAGATTATCCGATGCTTTAAGATACAGGGGGTAAGTAAAAAAAAACAACAAACGCGTCTTACAATCCGGAGAATAAAGTCAGAGCGTGCGCACACAGATGGACTTACCGATGAACAGCATGGAATGTTTCCTGGCAAACTTCAGACCTTCTGTCCGGTCCAGAACTCGACCGTCCTTGCAGGCGCAATCAGGAAGTGTCAGTGAGCACAAATTAAAACGACTCCCCCCCCAAACAATGCCTTGTACCATAAAAAAAAAACTCGCGACGCTTCGACGGCAACACACGCGGTTGTCATCTCCGCCTGATGACGACCACGCGTGTTGCCGTCGAAACGTCGCGAGTTTTTTTGGTTTGTTATTTTTTTTTTTCAAATTCATTTTATTTTCCATCTGCGTGACCATACCGAAGGAACCGAAGAACATGAATTCCCGCCGTCGCGAAAGTTTTACGTCAGAAAGGTTATATACCACTTGGGGCAATGCTCTGAAGAAGGGGGCACTGCTCGGTCGACTTGGAGGAGCCTTGCTAAATGTTCATTTTTTGACACGTTTGGGACTGCAAAATGTAAATAAAAGCCTCCGTTGAAGCCGGCTGCCTACGGTCCGTAACAGTTGCCAATCGGTTAAAATATACATTTTCACAATACGACTATTAATCGCAAGATCGATTCCCCATACTTGTTTCGTACTGTGTTCAAGCATTTGAGTTGCTTTGTGTGTGTGCGCTGTACTTTTCCGTACAAGTAAAAAGATTACTCCCCACTGCAGCCGTCGACTGCTGAAACTGGACCTCGACGTCGCCAGGGATGAAACCCGTGCCTGGCTGCTAAACCGTGACATGTTCAGCCACGCTTTGCATCGTCTCCAATGCCGCTTAGAGATACAATTTTTTTTTTAAAGCATGAAGTCATGCGCACATGGTGTAGAGCAAGCTCATTTGTTGGGCACTGCATCAAGGCTAACTCCCCAGGGGACTATCCTTTTACTCAAGCGCAGAGTACACCGCGCGCATGCGTACGCTGTGATCTATGGCTGTTTGTCATGTTCACGTGATGAAGTGCATGCATGTGCAAAAAAAAGTATACAGGAAGCGCAGCTACATCTGCAGGTCGCCGTTTCAATGCAATATTTCATTTATTTTCCTTTCCTTTCGTTTCCTGCGTGACGTAACAACATCCCACAGCTGCCAACAACTGTTTCATTATCCAATCTTAATGCTAACAATATTTTCCCAGCACGGTTAACGAGGCCAAACGAAACATTCTCCAGCGGAACGCTTGCAAACAAGCAGGCAGTTAAGTGTGCTCGTATTTTTATTTATTTATTTAGCTAGCGTTAACTTGTTGTGCTATGAGAGTACTCATTTTAGCTGGGAAACCTTACCCTATATGCTGATACTGATTAATACTGTGGGTGTGCATTTTCCATCTTTAAAAGGATCCTGTGACGTCATTAGAAAAGAGTAAGCCCATTGTGTGCTGGGGGCGTCACGGTCTGCCTTGGCCAAATTTTAAAGTGCACCCACAAAGTACTCCACTGGGATGACCATGGAGCAACATTGCCCCTTACTGCAAAACCACTGCACACTATGTCTGTTGAACATTGCGTGCCTTCGCGATGGTAGCATGTGTGTTTGTTGAACCTCTTTCGCACCGTACATAGCAAACCGTGCTCATCGGAGGCGCGGGGAAAGGACACATAAGTAAATACAAAAGGCTGTTCTAAAGAAATTTGTTTTAAATATAGATGATTTAAAAGTGCATAGCTCCAGTGGATTTGTAATAGAAGGAAAAGACTCATAGAGACCCACAGAGATCAAGACTCAAATCGAACCAGAGACCCACAGACACCCAGAGAGATTCAGAGACTCAAATAGAACCACAGAGACCCATACTCATATGTATGTATGTTGAACTTCTTTCGTACGTAGCCAACCATGCTAATCGGAGGTGCGTGGGAAGAACAACTTGCTCCTTTACGAATGGTGCAAACACCAAATGATTGATTTGATGTTCTACTAACTTGGGCCCTCGTGGAATGTGAACCACGCAGAGGTGGGGGAGATGTGCAAGGCTCACCTTGTCAATTTTGTTTCCCACCAGCATCTTGACGATGTCGCTGCGTGTGGTGTACGTCTCAAGCTCGCTCAGCCAGTTCTCCAGCTTCAAGAAGGTGTCCCGCTTGGTCACATCGTACACTGCCAAAAACACGAGGGGCACGTAACAAAAAAAATGCTCTTTGGTCGGTGCACTCTACCACGACGCTCGCTGCATGGCGCGCGGGGTGCATGGCTGGAGGGCACGGTGAAGGCGACAAGTTACTTCGCCGCGGAAACGCCAACTTGACGGGGGAGCAGCGTACTCGGCGTGGGCACAACAACAGCATTTCCCAAACACCACCTTCACCATCAACGCGGCAGCAGCAGCACAACAAGCACCACCACCACTGCTGGGAAAACAACAATTTCACTTCGCCGCCGCCACCACCACCACCACCACTTGCGTCAGCACTCCTGCAATTTAATTGCGACTGCGCAATGTCATTTGCCGATTGTACAACACCACGTGGACACAACTGGGACGATGTGGTCACGCATCTAGTTATGCCCACGATGATTCTGAAAAACGGGTACACGTATATATTATGCGTTTAACGATTCACAACCGCCCCGAGAAAACCAGCTCGCGTGCAAGTGCTACGCGATTGCTACATCACAGGACTGCGGGAGATTGCGGCGCTTCTAAGCCTCCATCCAGCAGTGGAGAGATCTTGGATGATCATGGAATATTAAAGCTCGGACCCCCCCCCCCCCCAAAAATGGAATGTTGAATTCCCACCACCAACTCAAGGCAACACCCAAAGGAGTGCGAGGTTGTTGCTTGTTTAGAGGACAGAGACACTTTTGTTTTTGATTACAGATGGAAGTTGTGACTTGTACGGGTGCATGCACACTCTTCTTCGGGCAAAACACATCGTTCCAAAATAATATTTAGTCGTGTTCCCTTCTAAACAAACACCAACATTTCACCACCGTAATTTACAAGCTGCCATTGATTTACACTGCTTCAGGAAAGTATTTGTAATAAAGGTCCGTCTCTGTTTCACCGATTAATAATACCCATAACGGTTGGAACACGACCCCAACGTAAATATTCGCAGGCGCATGTACCGCGCATATACTAGCCGATCATACACATAACGTGGCAATACTTGTTGCTTTGTAGTCAAACCACAACTCGAAAGTCAGTACGTCAACCTTGCTCATGTAAGTAAACTAAACTACAGCAAAACCTTGGATTGCGAGTAACTTGGTCTGCGAGTGTTTTGCAAGACGAGCAAAATTTGTAAATAAATATTAATTTGATAAACGAGCGAGGTCTTGCAATACGAGCAGTACGTGTAGTACGCTTTGTCTGCCGAGCGTCACCTGATCACAACTGATAAACGTGTGCTTTGATATACGAGTGCTTTGGATTACAAACGCGTTTCCGGAACGAATTATGCTCGCAATCCAAGGTTTTATTGTATTTGTTATTTACCGGGTAATTGAATTCACACTCTTACTACAACAACGACAACAGCAGTAGCAAGAATGTGTATGTTGAACTTCTTTCGCACCGTACGTCGCCAACCGTGCTAATCGGAGGCGCGGGATGGTAACGCAAACAACGATAGCAGTTTTGGGTGGCCGTCATCCAGCAGTGGATTGACCACGACTGATGACAAGAGCACGTTCAACATCCATGGCATTTATAACGAGGATAACATTAGCGACACGTGGGTGGGAAGTGCTTACCCCCCTGTGTGTACAGCCCTGGGTCAGTAGTGAAGGCGACGAGTCTGTTTGACGGCACACGTTGACATGGGCCAAATCGGATACTCAAGTTTTTCGATCCCATATGGATGATGGGAAGAGTCAATGCCTGACCACGAATTTAATTCAACTATTTAAACTACTAAATTTGAAGTTTTCGTGACTGCAGGGATCCATAATCATTGGTTCCTATGGTAAAGTCACGTAGGTGTAAAAATAAATAAATTATTTTGATGAAATAAATCATTTTATACCTACGTGACTTTACCGAAAGAACCAAAGAGTATGTAAACTACTTTTTATTTGACCAGGTAAGGCCCATGGATCTACAGTGAGGGAAAAAAGTATTTGATCCCCTGCTGATTTTGTACGTTTGCCCACTGACAAAGAAATTATCATTTTAATGGTAGGTTTATTTGAACAGTGAGAGACAGAATAACAAGAAAATCCAGAAAAACGCATGTCAAAAATGTTATAAATTGATTTGCATTTTAATGAGGGAAATAAGTATTTGACTCCCTCTCAATCAGAAAGATTTCTGACTCCCAGGTGTCTTTTATACAGGTAACGAGCTGAGATTAGGAGCACACTCTTAAAGGGAGTGCTCCTAATCTCAGCATGTTACCTGTATAAAAGACACCTGTCCACAGAAGCAATCAATCAATCAGATTCCAAACTCTCCACCATGGCCAAGACCAAAGAGCTCTCCAAGGATGTCAGGGACAAGATTGTAGACCTACACAAGGCTGGAATGGGCTACAAGATCATTGCCAAACAGCTTGGTGCGAAGGTGACAACAGTTGGTGCGATTATTCGTAAATGGAAGAAACACAAAAGAACTGTCAATCTCCCTCGGCCTGGGGCTCCATGCAAGATCTCACCTCGTGGAGTTGCAATGATCATGAGAACGGTGAGGAATCAGCGCAGAACTACACGGGAGGATCTTGTCAATGATCTCAAGGCAGCTGGGACCATAGTCACCAAAAAAACAATTGGTAACACACTACGCCGTGAAGGACTGAAATCCTGCAGCGCCCGCAAGGTCCCCCTGCTCAAGAAAGCACGTATAAATGCCCATCTGAAGTTTGCCAATGAACATCTGAATGATTCAGAGGACAACTGGGTGAAAGTGTTGTGGTCAGATGAGACCAAAATAGAGCTCTTTGGCATCAACTCAACTTGCCGTGTTTGGAGGAGGAATGCTGCCTATGACCCCAAGAACACCATCCCCAACGTCAAACATGGAGGTAGAAACATGTTTTGGGGGTGTTTTTCTACTAAGGGGACAGGACAACTTCACCGCGTCAAAGGGATGATGGACGGGGCCATGTACCGTCAAATCTTGGGTGAGAACCTCCTTCCCTCAGCCAAGGCATTGAAAATGGGTCGTGGATGGGTATTCCAGCATGACAATGACCCAAAACACACAGCCAAGGCAACAAAGGAGTGGCTCAAGAAGAAGCACATTAATGTCCTGGAGTGGCCTAGCCAGTCTCCAGACCTTAATCCCATAGAAAATCTGTGGAGGGAGCTGAAGGTTCGAGTTGCCAAACGTCAGCCTCGAAACCTTAATGACTTAAGAGAAGATCGGCAAAGAGGAGTGGGACAAAATTCCTCCTGAGATGTGTGCAAACCTGGTGGCCAACTACAAGAAACGTCTGACCTCTGTGATTGCCAACAAGGGTTTTGCCACCAAGTACTAAGTCATGTTTTGCAGAGGGGTCATATACTTATTTCCCTCATTAAAATGCAAATCAATATATAACATTTTTGACATGCGTTTTTCTGGATTTTTTTGTTGTTATTCTGTCTCTCACTGTTCAAATAAACCTACCATTAAAATTATAGACTGATAATTTATTTGCCAGTGGGCAAACGTATAAAATCAGCAGGGGATCAAATATTTTTTTCCCTCACTGTATATAGTTCTTTTTCAGAAGCGACTTGGTTAAAAATTATAGCTCAAGGAAGTGGCTTTTCACGTGTACATTTATCGCAGCCAAATACTCTAAAAAGCAAGATTTCCTAACTGTGGAGGGAAAAACCGCAGGACCAGGAGAGAAAAATCCACGCGACCACGGGGAGAACATGCAAACTCAAAATATACAGCAGGAGTCAGGGTCGTTATCAAACCCACAACTTCCCGCATACCAGACGAGGAGCAAAACATCTCGCCACATGTGGCATGCCATAAGCAATGGGATGCCACCTCTTCTCCATCTGAGGCTATGATCCATAACATAACCATTGTTGATGTTCCCAAACTCATTCAGTTTAGCCCACGGAGCTACAAGAAAAGAGCTATTTTTTTTTTAACTTGCGTGTTCCTTCACCAAAGATTATCACCAAATCACTAGGAATGTGCCCAACCTCATCAGATCTCTGGAGCTAAGCGGGGTTTCGGTGTGGATGGCGCTTGGATGGGCAACCATCTAAGGTTGTATGTGCAACTTTTTCCGCACCAGTCGTAGCCAACCGTGCTCATCGGAGGTGTGGGGGAAGGACAAAAAAGTAAATACAAAAAAGTAGCTTTAAAGAGATGAGTTTGTCAATTTAGATTGCAGAGTGCAAAGCTCCAGTGGCTTCCTAATATCAGAAGGAAGAGCGTTCCAGACGGCCGCAGAAGCGCATCGGAAAAGAGCGCGATGCGGTGACCGTCTTTGTTCGGTGGCTAGCCAAAAGCCGCTGCTGCGAGGACGACCGAAGTTTGCGCGATGGTTTATGGCTCCTTGACAAGATAGTTTATACCCAGAGATCGCTATATACAAGGCTGCTACGGAATGACATTCAGGGCAGCACCTCGGAGGAGCACGTTTTTTTGGTACATGCGGTACGAAAGAAGTGCAACTTAATTACACACACCGCACCTCCGATTGGCACGGTTGGCTGCGTACGATGCGAAAGAAGTCCAACATACGTAGATACGCACTGAACCAGACCCATAGACTCACACAGAGACCCATAGTTTGTTGTCCTTCCTCCGCACCTCCGATTAGCACGTATGGCGTGGAAGTCCAACATACATGCATACGGCAGATGGGGAGCGCAGCAACAAAATCAATTGTTGTATTGTACTTTGCACCCACGTTTATGGTGTCAATCTTCAGATAACCGTATTGAGCAGCACGGTTAGATTTGATCAAAATCACCACCACGAACCACACGGCAAGGGGGTGAGGACCTTCATCCGGCCGGTCGAACGATAAAAAAGAGGGCCGAATGTTTGCAGACTTACTTTGCCTACACACATTGTGTAGCACGGAAGCAGAGACTCACCGAGAATCACGCCCTGCGCTCCTCTGTAGTAGCTCGGCGTCAGGGTGCGAAAGCGCTCTTGGCCAGCCGTGTCCTGTGCGGGAGAAATTCAAAGTGCCGCGCGAAAGCAAGCCATTGCAAACAAGGCTGCACCGTCACCTTTTTTTTACACATTTCATATTCGACCCTTTTTAATTGCGCGAGGCTAATCGCAAAGGAGGCTACTGTTTCACAGATGAATGTACTCTGCCAGCAGGAGGTGATCTTGCCATGTGGTTTCACCCGATTAAAGTATATTTGAGCTCTACAAATGTGTAACACGTCCGGGGGTAAACAAGACTCGCCTGCAAGACAAAGCACATTTTTGCAATGCAAAATAATGTCCACTGTGACCAGTTTTTTTTAATATGCAAAACAACGTCAGTGTACCTTATTAATGTTCCAGCAAGCAGTATATTAAGTAACATAGCTCTCTCAATTGTTATTGGGTTGCGTGTCAAGACGTCGTGCCATCGTTCGGCACGATGTCTTGACATTCCGTTCCACGTGCTGGGAGATTGATCAGGAACTGTCCAATTTCACCACCAACTTTATTTAGGTCCTGAAGAAGCTACCAGCACGTGGAATCGAAAGGCATCATGTCCAAATGAACACGCGGTACAATCTGAAAACAAACATGCGTCAAGAGCTACACAGCGCAACCATGAACACCCGTGCAGTAAGATCACCTACGATATTACTGAATTGCATGCACAGCACAACGCTTTGAACGTGAACAGAAATCAACCCTTAATTTCCACAAATGGATGGCGTGCGACGATGTGAGCGAGCGCTCTGGCGACTCACCCAAATAGCGAGCTTTGCTTTGTTTCCATCCACAGCGATTGTCTTCACTTTAAAATCAACACCTGGAAGAAAAATGACCCACAAAACACTGAGTACCCCCCCTAACCCCCACCCCACCCCACAGAACTAAACACAAGGTCTGCACTGGCAAAGGCTTTGTCTCGGGGGTTCTAAGTAATGGCTTGAGTGCCCGAGCCAAATGCAGGCAACCAAACCAGCCAAAGTGATCAAAGGGGGGGGGGCCCAAAACGTGGCGATTAAAAGACCGCGCGCTGAAGGCAACGAGATCCTTGGCAGCCACGTTACGGTTGTCATGGTGCCCACCGCCTCCCCTTCCCGATGATGCCATTCACGTGATGTCATTCCGTGATGTCATCTCTTTGGATATCCCAACACAGTGGTTTCTCAACCTTGTTTTTGGCGAATTTTGTTTCAACCGGGTAACCACCCCCCCACCACCCCCCTTTGCCTGACCCAATGTGGTTCTGAAAAATAAATGTACGACTAATGAACGTCAATATTTGAACCAATCGTCCATTTCGTGAGGTATATCCTAACTTAGCTAAGTAACTACAAACGAATAAAAAATAAATCAACGGACGCTCTGCACGTGTGATGCAATTTGTTCACGCTCGCTGGTTACTCTTGGAAACCACAATGTTTACGGTCAATGAGTTTAGAAAGATCATTTAAATCGTTCTAGGTTACCGTAATGATTAAACATTTGTCGTAGTTATTTTATATTGGCATATTCATACAACGTGATTGTTCCACCAATGATTCTAATGTATGAAATAATTTCACACATTTGTAGTGGGTACAAACTTGTAGGAGACTTCCTCTTGGAGGCAACACGTCTATTAACAATAAACGTCATAACAAAGGGGTACGGCCCCTTGCACCCGATATCCGGCTAGCGTGTCCTACTCCCCCATGGGCTTGAGATGTCTTCAGTTCTTCGAGTGGGCGACAACTGCCAGTCCCGTTGTGAGGACCGGCTTTTAAACACGAGTCGGGGCTCACTCCGACCCTAGCCGGGGTCCACCCCTCCGGTCACGAGATACGGGGGGGGGTTTACCTTGGCTTAACTGCCACTCAACATACTAAGCCTCCCATCCGTCCCCTGTAGAGCTATCGGCGTAGTAGCCGGCTAACTCTCACGTAGCGCTTTAATTAATAATCGCGCTACACATTTATAAATCACCTCACGCACACCCAGGGGTCCGCGTACCCTCGGTTGAGAACCACAGCCTTAAAACACACTGTTATCTCGAATTAAATACATCCGAGGGCAAAAACATACGGGAAAGTGTTGCGGTAAACGTGAATAGGCATGGTTTATTATCTTCCTTGATGTTAAATCTTTTTTTTTTCCTTACCGATTGTCGCAGCCAGCTCGGGGTCAAACGTGTCATCTGTAAACCTCAAGAGCAGGCTGAAAGAAGAAGAACAACAACAACAACATTCACACGTGATGCACAACGGCAGCGTGCGACAGGACGCCACTAAGACAAAACTCGAGGCATCGGGGCATGTAATGACTGCATCGATTAAAAACAATTCTCACGACACGTAGGGAAATCAATTCGTTGCAATTCATCGGTGTGTTTTTGAGTCCGTGAGTGTTGTTCGATGGGTGGCCACCATGCTTGATAGTTGTACACGGTGGTCTAGATGTCTTGTGACCCCCGTTTAATTCTCTAAAACTTCATGTGTTTGCATATCGGTGTGAAAACAGAAATTAATTAGCAAAGGTAAAAAAAACGTAGAGGTCGTCAACAATTTGAGGGGGGGGGGTCACAAAACATCTGGACCACGCTGTAGACTGTTGCTCGTCTGCGTTGTCGGTAGAGGGCAGTATAGCAAAATGCATTGTTGCACTGTTTAGTCAATTCCATGTTCAACGCGTGTCAATTTACAGGTCCATATAAAATGGAAATTTTCTTCAAAGTTCTGATTGCTGTCAAAGCACAGCAACCTTTACCACAATTACCATCGCCACGACCACCACCACTACTATCAACCCAGCAGTGTTTTCAAGGCACCATCTGCAAGTCAGCGTAACTCTGGCTGCCCTCATTACAACTGCAAACATCACAAGTCGCCACGATGACCACTATCACAACTACCAAAAGACAAAACAAAGATCCCGCCCCCCCGTATAGCCTGTAACAGACTGTTGAAGCAACTGCTGTTAGCGAGCACCTATGAAGGCCGGCACTGTGGCACACGAGGGGGGGGCGGTGGCCAGCACCACGCCTGGCCATGGTCAATCCGCTATTCACGTCCCCATCTCTCACAATCCTGAGACGCAACAATCCACGTCGCGCACGAACCGATTCCAATGCTCCGCCTCCTCGGGACGCATCCTCCTGTAAACGTTCCGCTCCTGCGATGCTGCTCCGACATCATTGCTGACCATCGGCAGTCCGTTCTAGCGACGAGTGCCGTCCCAGCAGACTGACGTTTTAATAACCGTTAAAAAATGTCATCAATCAGCGCATTTTATCTTATCCGTGTGTTCCGCTTTCAGCCCCTCAATGAAATTACGAGCATTAATCTCGCCGTGCATCTTTGGTCAATGTACTTTATTATTTGTTTTTAACACAAACCTCAACACCGTCTTCTTATCAAACGTAAACTTTAAAACGCGTGATAAAGGTCACTTCCTTGCATGTCGCAGAACATGATGCAACTGGAAGCTTAAGTGGCACTTCATGGAATTGAGAGCTGTATCCACGCGAAAATCGCCCCGTCAACTCATGGCACTGCCACTTCTCAAAAGGCCCCCCACAGACACTGTACACAAGTACCAATGACTGTCCTCTCGACGACTTGACTTTACACAACAGCGTCAAAACCTCATGCATGCTTTTGAGCCAACAACAGACACATAACCATCGTGGGTCAAGACCCAGTGGGCTGCAGGTTAGAGGTTAAATACCTTCAGCTTTGGCAGCACTCCACACACCTACTTACACGGGGTGGTATGTTTTGCAGACGCATGCATACCACACGCTTGCCCTACGTGTAAACGGGCAGACGCATTTCTTTGGCCAGTATTTGTCTTTCACCTCCACACGCTGTGTAAATTACGAGAAGTAGAGAGCTACAACCACATGTTTAGGAAGCCCGAAAAGTGAGACGTGAGAGAGGTGGTGGGCCGATTGTGTCAGAAAATACTGCAATTATCTCGACTTATCAGAAGAAGGTAGTGTGACGATCACACTGGGCACAACATCGTGGCATTGCATTGCAATTCAACACGGCTCTGTGTAGTGAGTAATAGACGATGATGACGACGACAACGATGATTGCGTAATAAGGGATTGCATAACACACCACGTCGACAATGATTCAACAGGGCTCAATATGTTTGCCAGGTAAGTCATGCCGGTGATTAAAACACACCGACACACTACTCACCCAACAATCACATCCTTCTGGCAAAGCTTTATTTTGTTCTGATCATTACTGTACATCTTGCCACGCCTGTACGCCATATGTGCTAACATTACTGAAGCATCTCAAACAAGCTTAAGGATTAGATTGTTTATGTTGCGCGCACCTGTGTTGTCACGAGTGTGTGTTGTCAAGAGCAAGACTCGCATCCACGACTTGGGTTAAACCAACCCAAACTTAGAGAGACTGAATTGTATGAGCGCATGAGACTCATAAACAACACCGATATACACTCTATGACTCCGAGCATCTAAAATTAAACGGGGGCTAGGTTGACAGGCATAGGCATGTGAGCAGAACACACTGTCACCATCATCGTGGTAAACATTGACTGCCTATAAATACTTCGTAACAACATATTAATAATGTTTTATATAAGTTTGATTTTACATCTCGCGCTTAATTCCATCGCCTGGATGAAGGCCCTTCCTACGCCTTGTCGGTCATGGAGAGGTTTTGTTTACTATACTTCGTCATGCTGGTCAGAGGGGCGCCGCGGTGGCGAGATGTTAACTACCTCGCCTGGTATACAGGTCATGGGTTCGATCATGATGCTGATGCCTGCTGCATGTCGGGCTTGCACGTTGTCCCCGCAGTCGTGTGTATTTTTCTCCACGTCCTCCGCTTTTTCCCTCCACATTTAGAAACACACGTTCAGAATATTTGACTGCTGCTATACATTTCCACATTGTTGAGCGATCATTTACGATAGCCAGGTCGCTTCTGAAAAAGGGCTATACAGCTTTTTTTCTTTACCTGGTGAAACGAAAAAATGTGTTTAGTGTAATTTCTGGTCAGGCATTGACTCTCCCATCATCTCTATGGGTTAAAAAAAAATTGAGTATCCGATTCGGCCCACGTTAAAATGTGCAGTCAAACAGACTCGTCGCCTTCACTACTGGCCCAGGGCTGCATACTCAGGGGGATACGTTCTTCCCAAAAACTCGCCGTTAATGTTATCCTCGTTATAAATGCCATGGATTTTGTACATCCTCTTGTCATCAGTCGTGGTCAATTCAAAGCTGGATGACGACCACCCTTGTTTGTGTTACTATCCCGCACCTCTGATTAGCACGGTTTGGTGACATTAGGTGCAAAAGAAGTTCAACATACATACATACATATTCTTGCTACTGCTGTTGTTGTAGTCAGAGTGTGAATTCAATTACTTGTCCCGGGCTCGACTCTACTCCCATCGTCCTTTCGAGGTCGATAAACACAAGTACGGTACTGCTTGGAGCAAGTCAGAATCAGAAAATGTATTTATACTGCAGCAGGAATCTGTTGAGCTATAAAGCTCTTTTTCACAGATGTCCAGGAGGGGCACCGGGTCAAAACGTCACGATAACCAACAATACAAAAACACAATATAAGTGCAAAGTGTAGGAAATGTAAATAAATCACTTACAAAAGTACATACAAATAAAACTAACACAAAATGTGTTTATCTCACCAGCCTTGTCTCTTAAGACTCTTAGACTGTAAAGACAGGGATAAGCGTCTCCCATTCGCTGTTATCCTTGTTACAAATATTTTACTCGTTCGTAGTGTTATCTTCATCACCACCAGCCACGGTCAATCCACTGCTGGCTGCAGCCCTCCCACCAAGCCTTTCCCATCTTTCACGACAATGCGATGTAAGAATCCACCTCGCACCTTGTACATGACTTGATTCCAACGCTCCATCTCCTAAAATTATATCCTCTATGACGCGTTTCGTTCGTTAACTGCCACTCCCGTCATTGTCGTACTTGATGTTGTTCAGAATATTTATACTGGAGAAATCCGATGAACAATGAAGCTCTTTTTCACGGGTGTCCCCAGTCGGGGTAGGTAAGAACGCTACAACAACAAACAATACAAAAAAACACGATAGGACTGCAAAGGACAGCACAGGTAAGTAAATCACCCCAACACCTACAAATACAACACTAGACCATCCCCATCCCACTAGCCAAAGCCCACTGAGGCATTCACTTAATTTTTCAAAAGCGACCTGGCCACAAATGATCATTGTTAATGCTATTTACATATACTCCGTGTAGTTATTGTTATTATCCCATGTTATCTTTGTTCGCATCATAATCCTTGTAGCTTTTACTCTTCTTGTGATCATTATTAATCCGTTATCATTATATTTGTTATTACGGTATTCTTACCGTTATTGGTTTTACTTGTTGCTGTTATATTATCTGATGGTTTCTTTCGCCTGTTACTGTGTTACCATCGTTATACAGTAATTGTAAATACTTAAGTATGATCATCGTCACCGTTATAACTCATTAGCAGCGTTTTGATGAATGTTAAAAGAGTTGTTGGTATTCCTCTTATCCACGTCTTGTTTTGTCACCATTAACATTGCTATAACCACTGTTGTTTGTCATGCTTATTGTTACACATCATGAGTGTTATAACGCCGTTTAAGATTTGGTCCACTCACTGGACTGAGTTTGCAGTGCGAACCAATCTGCCCCCGATATTTTGAGTGTCGTTCTCCCTCGAATGCAGCGAGGTGGGCATTTGTCCAATAATCTTCGGTTTTATAACCAGACAAATCCTCACAAAGGGAATCGATCAGAAATCCCAGACTGTGCAGTTGGACCTCCTCCTGAAAACTAATCTTGAGACTCAGTGCAGCTTTCCTGCATACGTTTGCGTTATAATCGCAAATGTATTATGTTGCAATTGTTACACCACTTATTATAATGATCAGGTTATCACTGTTATTGAGTGTTCCAATTGTGAATATCATTTTCAGATGATAAATATTTGATTTAAAGCTTTCGTGACTGCAGGGATTCATATTCGTGGTTCTTTCGGTAAAGTCAGGTAGAAGGGAAATAATAAAAATATAAAATATATATTTTGTTTCCCTTATACGTGACTTTACCGAAAGAACCAAGAATGCGATGAATATTGTTATAATTCGTTGACATTATCCATGTTATTGATATTCTTGTTGTCAATGTTACAAATGCTGTTAATGTTTATTGCGATTGTTACGGACACAAGTGGAGCGTATTAGTTGTGAATATTAGTGCTAGTCGTATGTATTATCCTTGTCATTGATACGGGGCGTTGTTTCAATTATCCCAGTTATCGTCAATTGTGGCATTTCTGCGATTGATATTACACCACCAACAATCCTCTTCGGCCCTTTGTCATCGATCCACTGGTGTACGAACGTCTCGAGAAGCCGCCGCCGCCGCCACCTCTCATCATCAGTACCATCGGCACGAGTTCTTCCTGCAATCTTTACTCTACAGATACCAATGGTCACAACTCGTAAGCCTTTAGCAACAACACTCTTTGTACGCCGCTTCGAGTCGAACTGCGACCCTGCTAGGCCTCCGTAAACCCGGCGACATCGACAGAAGGACCACGACGGGTGACGATGGCGTCACCACAGGGCTTGTTGCCAGGCGAGACGCACTTTCATTTTCACCCAAGTGCAGAATGCTCGGGTGACAGGTCACGGGGCAGACACAGGTGTTGACTGGGTTAAGCGAGATGACCGCCAGATTGTATCAACTAAGCTCCCCGCTCTAAAAAAAACTAAGTCAAAAGTGATTTCTTACTCGAATGAGCCATTGAAGCAAATTCCACATTCGCATGGCGGCGGCGGCGACCACTGATGATTGCCCCACATATCAGCACTCATGTTTATTGACCCGAGAGACATAATAAACAAAGGCAGTGTGTTCTTCACTAATTTTCAGAGGGGGGGGGGGGTGGCACTTTCGCCTACAAGACATCACCAGTGTGAGATCCGCCATACCATTCGAAACCATTGGGGTGTGACAGCAACACGACGATGGTGATGATGAAGGGGAGGGGGGGGGTGTCACTGTTTGTGTATTGTCGGGAACCCGCACTGAAGACCACCATGGGCCCGGCGGGCCTTGCAATGAACACCGCAGGCCTAAGCCAACAAAACCACGACAACCAAAGCACCACCGCCACCACCGCCGCCGCCACCTCACCTGGACTTGCCAACGCCGCTCTCTCCGATGATGAGAATCTTGAGCGTCGTGAGGATGTCCTCCTCCATAGCGCAGTCGCTCACTGGCGCTCACGCCTCAAAGTCGCCTGATGTTATAGAGCTCGCGCTCAATCACTCCGCTCGCCGTAATCCACTCGACGGCGAGGTGGGTGGGGTTGAGAGGGAGGCACGGCAACAGCAGCCGACGGAGTCCCGGGCGTCTGTGGGAACGAAGCGAGGCCGTGAATCTCCCTCCCTGGAGGCGATCGGCGCGGGCGGTGTCGATCAACAGAGGGCGGCGCGCGGCATGCCGGGAGAGCTTCCACGCACAGGAAGTTGTGCGTGTGGCGTTGCGCGTCACGTCCGGTCACGTGCGCCGGTCGGTGTTAGCTTCCGGTCCCGGATTTTAAAAAAATCCCTGTCGGCGCCTTCTTCTTCTACGTCACGTCCGGTCACGTGCGCTGTCGTTTTTTTTGTTTTTGCACTTCCGGTGGCTCAACAACATCGTGAATTTGGAATCCATAATAGTGGATTCTGGGTTAGATCATATGTGAAATAAGAATATAATATATAATAATGCAATAAATCAAATTATATTTAGTTATATTTTAAATCATATATTAAATTATCATACGCTGAGTATATTTAATAATATATTTAAAATGTCACATTGAATAACATTCTTGGTTCTTTCGGTAAAGTCACGTAGAAGGGAAACAATAAAATAATACAAATATAAAACAATAAAATTCTCACGTTTCGACTGCAACACAAGCAATCATCATCAGGTGTGAAAACCACAGCAAGAAATGTTTTATTTCGATTTAAAGCTTTCGTGACTGCAATGATTCATCTTCTTTGGTTCTTTCGGTAAAGTCACGTAGAATGAGGTGAAGGGACGAGACTGTCCTACCAGACAGTCTCGTCCCTTCACCTGATGAAGGCCGCTTGTGTTGTGGCCGAAACGTCGTGAGAATATTATTGTGTTATTTTATTTTATCAATTTATTATTTTATTCTCATTCTACGTGACTTTACCGAAAGAACCAAAGAAAATGTTTTATTATTTTATTGTTACCCTTATACGTGACTTTACCGAAAGAACCAAGAATATGAATCCCTGCAGTCACGAAAGCTTTAAATCAAAATTGAATAACATTAGATAATATATTAAATTGTGATGTATAGATAATATTATATTTAATACTATATTGGATAATTAACTACTATAATGAGCCAAGAATGTCTGTTCTGCGCGTGACGTCACTCCACGTCGACCAGCCCCCCTAATTAATAATCATGAACAGTACAGTATATTAGTTCTTTCGGTAGAAGGGAAACAATAAAATAAGAAAAATGTAAAACAATACAATTCTCACGACGTTTCGACTGCAACACAAGCAATCATCAGATGTGAAAACCACTATATTCTTGGGTCTTTCGGTAAAGTCACGTATATAGGTTCAAAGTAACAAAAATACAATTTTAATTTTCTTTGAACCTATCCACATGACTTTACCTAAAAATAACAAACTATTTTTGTTATTTTCTTTGAACCTATCGACGTGACTTTACCGAAAGACCCAAGAATATAAATTCCTGCAGTCACGAAAACCTTTAAGTCAAGATTTAATCATGAACAGGTTACGTCATTCACATGGACCCCTCCCCCTCCTCATTAATAATCATGAGCAGTTGGCGTCACTCCGCATGGAGAACCCCCCCTCATTAATAATCATGAGCAGGTGACGTTACTCCACATCGAACAGCCCTCCTAATTAATAAGCATGAAGAGATGACGTCATCTAAAAGGACCCCCCCCCCGCCAATAATAATAATTAGCGGCTGACGTCACTCCACATGGTGGGGGGAGGGGAGGCGCCTCCTCCCCCCTCCTCGGCGTCAACTTACAACCCTCACGTCACGTGATCTCCGTAACGCTGTTGTTGAGACATCCAACCACTAGCACCCCATCCTCCCCTCTTCGCCCTCGTGTTCAGCTGGAGGCCGCCTGGATCACGGGAGACGTCTCATTAGACCTGGCGGAGGAGAGACACACAACGATATTCATGGAATATTAAAACACGAGCCAGCGATAGTCAACAGATTTCGCACGCAATTTGGATCGAAGGCGTGCAATGTGGTTGCAACCAAAGTGTTTGGAACCATCTAGGAAGTGTCATCTTCTTGGTAACTCCATACTGGGTCTATGTGGATCTATGCAGCTGTGTGTGAGTCTATGCACCTCTGTGTGAGTATATGGGTCTCTGTGTGAGTCTATGAGTACATCTGTGAGTCTGTGTCTTTGTATGAGTCTATGGAGCCGTCTATTAATGACGTCACGCACCTGGGGGGGGGTCAGACATTTGTGACGATTTGTAACGGGGGGGGGGGGGTTAGAAGTGACGTCACATCAAAATGCGCAACTTTAAATAAATATAGACAATACGTTCTCCTTAATTAAATAGACTTTTTGATAAATGTTTTCTCCTACAACATCAGAGTACAGCGGCGCATTAAATACGCGCTACAATGACAATAGTTTAAAGCGATTTGTGACGTGGGGGGGGGGGGGTCAAAAAATCGTCCAAAATCGCGTGACGTCATTTATGGACGGCCTTAAATAAAATAATATATTATTTACTCGATCTTTCCCAAAAACTCTCTACTATGAATATTGGTCGCAAAATCACAACTACTACTACCACGTGTTGAATCGCTATTGGAATTTAGCGCGGCGGCCACGGGTGACGTAATTGCTTACTCGGACGCGGGCACGTGGGCGTGGATTGTTGGACTCGACGACATTACGTCATTCAGTGCGGTGTGGTTGGGTGCGGGGGGTGATTGGGAGTGGGGGGCGGGGGTTGGCAGTGGGGGGCGGGGGTTGAGAGTAGGGGGCGAGGGTTGGCAGTGGGGGGCGGGGCTTGAGAGTGGGGGGGCGGGGGTCAGCAATGGGGGGCGGGGGTCGGTAATGGCGGGCGGGGGTTGAGAGTGGGGGGCGGGTGTTGTGAGTAGGGGCGGGGGTTTGCAGTGGGGGGCGGGGCTAGCTTACAGGTAGGCGTGGTTTTGTAAAAATGGGAGGGGCTTGTCAGTTTGGCCCAACGTGTTGCCGGTTGCGCGTCTCCCAAGGAGGATGTTCAGAATGTGTAATTATACTGCAGGAGGAATCGGATGAGCTATAAAGCTCTTTTTTCACGGGTGTCCCCAGTAGGGGCACGGGGTAAGAACGTAACAACAAACAATACAAAATCACGATAGGAGTGCATAGTACGAGAAAGGTAAACAAATCACCCAAACGCCTACAAATACAACACTAAACCATTCCCCATGCTACCAGGCAAAGCCCACTGAGTGTACGTTGCGGCTGTGTGGCCGGTGCGGGGTGGAGTGTGCTGGTGGTGGCTGTGGTTGATGATGTGGAGGAGGCCCGTGAAGGACGCTGCTGCGACTGGGCAGTTAAAGGCAGTCGCCATCCCAGCATCAACAACGAAGGGCAGAGGAGCGACGCTCTCACAACAACGAGCGGAGCGCCGGGTGGATAAAACGCAGCGAGTTGGCACAGTAAGGGGGTGGGGGGGGGCATAGGCGGTGCATCGGCCGGTCATCTCAGTCGACCCGTGGCACCTGCTGGGTCTGCCCCGTGACCTTGCCAGCCAGCGGGCGTTGGACACTTCACGTGGTAGCCCCAACGTGCACCCAGCCTGGCACAGGCGCCGCGGTGACGTCACCGCCACTCGGGTGGCGAATGGCGGTTGTTGTTGTTTGTTGTTGGTGGTGGTGATGGTGATGGCGAAGTCGCCTTGCGTATTGCTTCTGCTCGTGCTGCTACTGATGTCGCCTGGTGGTCCCGTCGGAAGGTCAGTGCCGGATTGTGATGTAGGGCCGTGTTTTTTTTAACACACACTTTCAGACGGGGGGTTGGTGGTGCCACTCGTCAGTGCGAGTGAGGAGGGCCCAGCCACGCATTATTTGAAACCATTGCGGGGTTTGTGACAGCAGCAGCACCACCACGGTGGTGATGATGATGGGAGGTGTTGTCACCTTTTGTGTATTGTCGGAGGGGGGGGGGGCCTCACTTAAGGGGCCACCAGGGGCCCGCTCGTGGCCCCGCGGGGGCCTTGCGATGACCAACACGGGGCCCACGCTGACAGACCATTCCGGAGTTGTCGTTGACGAGGCAGAGGGGGGCAGCCCTGCAGCGGTTACCCGCGCACGCCACCGCTGGCTGAAGGGCCACACCGTTTGAAACCATTGTTGGGGTTTGACAGCAGCACGACGGTGATGATGATGATGGGGTGGGGTGTTGTCACTGTTTGTGTTATCGGAGGGGGCCTGCATGTTAGGGGCCGCACTAAGGCCAACCAGGGGCCCGCCAGCCGTATTAAAGGCCACCAGGGGCCCGCCAGCCGCACTAAGGCCAACCAGGGGCCCGCCAGCCGCACTAAGGCCAACCAGGGGCCCGCCAGCCGCACTAAAGGCCAACCAGGGGCCCGCCAGTGGCAGTGAACAGCACTGGTTTAGGAGCTGCCTGCTCACAACAACGAAGCTATAAACGCTATGCTGGGCAGCTACACACATCCGTATGAATAAAACCACTGTCATGGCCTAAAGGTAAAAATGTGTAAATGCGAACCAACGTGCGACGTTCGAACTTAAGTTTGGGCTGCCCCGTTGCGTCAGCAAAGGTTTCAAGTACAGCAAGTAGGCCGACGGAGCTATCGCAGCGTGTAAAAAAAAAGTTGTCTTGGTCGAGTTCCTGCAACGCACGAAATAATATAAAAAATACTCATTGTTTTTTTCGGTATGCAGTCACGAAAGCTTTAATACTTTATTAATATTAAAACGCAGCAGCAGCAGGACCCCTGCTGAAATATTGTAGTTGAGACTCAACTCGCCTTCTCTTTTCGGGTATAAAATATATACACACAACCTTTTAAAGCTTTCGTAACTGCAGGGGATTCATATTTTTGGTTCTTTCGGTAAAGTCACGTAGAAGGGAAATAATAAAAATACATTCTCACGACGTTTCGATTGCAACACAAGCAATCATCATCAGGTGTGAAAACCACAACATTTTCTTGCTGTGGTTTTCACACCTGATGATGATTGCTTGTGTTGCGATCGAAACATTGTCAGAATATTTTTTTTATTATTGTATTATTTCGCTTCTACGTGACTTTACAAAAAAACAATATATACACAGCCTTCGTGACTGCAAGGATTCATCTTCTTTGGTTCTTTCGGTAAAGTCACGTAGAATGAGAATAAAATAATAAATTGATCAAATAAAATAACGCAATAATATTCTCACGACGTTTCGGCCAGACAGTCTCGTCCCTTCACCTGATGAAGGCCGCTTGTGTTGTGGCCAAAACGTCGTGAGAATATTATTGTGTTATTTTATTTATTAATTTATTATTTTATTCTCATTCTACGTGTCTTTACCGAAAGAACCAAAGAAGATATACACAGCCGTCAACCTATCACGGTTTTTTAACCCGTATTCTTGTCCAGTGAGATTGAGTGTTTAGGTCTATATATGCTTACAGTCGTTTCAATACGGGCAAAAATATATATTACATTTGTGTTTCTCCCTTGTGATGAACGTTGAATAATTATAATGGGCACGGGGGTGACCAATAAGTTCTGAATCGGTGTGTAATAAAGTAGGGCAATGATAAGGGATTGACAAGTATTTTATTATTATTATAATTTCTGAATATTATTAATGGGGCACGTACAAGATTGTTATCATCACCATGCTTACGATTCAGCTTCGCATGTGGACAGATCATCCAATCAACAAGTGACCGGTCAGATACGTACAGACGTAGTTATAAATTAAAAAGGCGGGTACGGTAATCCTATAAGTCGAGTTTAACCGCCACCACAACCGCCCATAGGCGTCGCCAGTTACGTGATTAAATACTCTAAATGCTGATTTAATTTAGGGCCCGTCCATAAATGACGTCACGCACCTGGGGGGGGGGAGTCAGACATTTGTGACGATGTGCGACGAGGGGGGGGGGTGAGAAATGTGACGTCACATCAAAATGCGCAACTTTAAATGAATATAGACAACACGTTCTACTTAATTAGATATACTTTTTGATGTTTTCTCCTACAACATCAGAGTGCAGCGCCACGTTAAATACGCACTACAATGACAATAGTTTAAAGCGATTTGAAGCATGCTTTATATATATTTTTGGGGGGGGGGGCAGAGCCTTGTGACGTCATATTTGAGGGGGGGGTCTGACTTTGTGACGTCGTGTGACGAAGGGGGGGGGGGAGTCAAAAATCGTCCAAAATCGCGTGACGTCATTTATGGACGGCCCCTTAGCTTAATTATCGATCCGGTTCATTCTGGGCACGTCGATGACCTTATGTAGGCCACAGAATATTAAAAGGTTAAAGGTGCAGCCCTGAAAGTTCTTACACCTTTGCGGGCAGCTCCAGAGGGCCCCTGTAGATGTTGCCTCACTTAGGTCTACTCTTCCACCCTGGCTAGAGTACCCACACTTTACCCCACCACACCACGTACGGATAGACCACACGAGTGTTACACATTTATGCAAGCAGGAGGATTTACGTATACGTTTGAAATTTGACAAACAAATATTGATCGTGAATTTAATCAATGTGCTCTATGGGGGGAAACAAAACAAAAACCATTGACCAAATGCTGTTATCACTTGCTTTTTTCAGCTAGATTGGAGCAAGATTTTGAATCGGATTTACTGGATAATGAGAATAATAAAAACAGCCACGCATCTTTGAACACTGACGACTCCCCCAGTCTTATTAGAGGCAAGCAGGGGTCTCCCCAAATACATCTACCGGCCCCTTCGACTGGCGAAGAACCTGCCGGGTTGACATTGACTCGGCATACGTATGATGATAACGCACGTGAAACAGTCTTCACGCCATCTCACGTGTCTGAACGTTCCGCGAGACGCTCAGTCGTGGTGCAGAAGGACATTCTGAAATCCCATGCCGGAGACGTCGATTCGCCGCACGGATCGGAGCTCGCCGGCGACGGTGATGACTATTCACAAGTTGTGATGTCTGCTGCTGATGCTCAGTCTGCCATGAGTTCTGACTGGGAGCCTGCCAGCGGTTTTCCTCCTGCGGCTGTGCCACCTTCTGGATCACAGTTCAGGATTGTGCCAATGGCCAGTCCTTTTGACTTTCCCAAGCAAACAAATGAAGGTAAAATCATTTAAAAAAATACTTTTCTCGTGAAATACAGCGTGCTTTAAAAAAATGTGAACGCTTCTGAGAATTTGCAACAACGCCACAAGAACTGTGCTGCCTCCGGGCTGTGGAGACCACCTGGAGAAGATTAAAGGCACGCGTTGACAATGATGGCGAACAAGTGGAGACTCTTTGACTTTTTGAAGCTATTGACATACATTTGTTTTCATGTTAGTGTATTATTCATTCTTTTTTACATTAAAAACGATAGTCCCATGTAAGTGTTAACATTTTTTCAAGCGCCCTGTATACCACTGTAACTGAATACAGAGCATTTCAGTTCCAAGACTCAAACTCAACGTAAGCAATTCATATCTAAGGGGACCTTTTTTTGGCAGTTTCAAATGTTATATATATATAAAAAAAAATAAGCTTTACCCTATCTGGCCGCTGAGGAGTTCAAGAACAGTTGTAGTTGGTGCATCATTTAGCCACGAACGACGGTAACGCGACATATGTTTTGGTTCTGTTTACAGTTCCTGTCTATTTCCATCTGCATTCGAAGGAGTCGTTACCCTGTGGGGTTTCTGCCCTCGAAATGACCGCTGAGCCAGAGTACCTGTGGCTTGACCAAAATGACCATCAGATAACAGGTGATCATTGTTCCTGATCTGTCACGGAGTTCTCATTTTGTTGTCACTTTTCTCCCCACAAATTACATTGTCGGTCTCTTCTAGGCCCTTGGCTTTCGCCGTCTTAACACTCTGCTGTTTGCAGGTAGTACCGAGATGAGTGTTACAAGCGATGGAGATCTAATATTCAAGACGGTTACCCCACGGACAGCTGGCGTTTACACCTGCGTGCTTAAATACACAAATGCCGATTTGAATTATGCATTTCACACAAAGTATATGGTCTACGGTAAGTATAAATACCGCGCATCTTCCTAGCAAAAGCTATTAAGGTGCATGTCGTCACAAAGCAGCCTAAAATAGTGATCTGAAACATTAAATACACTTAAAGGGTAAAGGTGCAGCAATTCAATTGCTTGCTCACGTCACTGCTGGCGAAAGGACCTCTCCTAGCGTGAGCTCTTGAGAGCACAGAGCCTTCCACGCTGGCTCGACATCTCCTACCCAACTACACGCTGCTTGCCGATCAACCAACTGCGGTACAACCATTTATACTGCCGGTTGGACAGAGGCAGGGGGCTTTAAGATATTTGCAGGAGTTTCGAATGCCATGCCGGGAGATGGCCCCGGCAACCTCTGGCTTGCAATTCCAGCGCAATGAACCATTACACAATGGCAGGATCCCATTAAATACACGCAGTCGTGCATTCACAAAACAGTATTCAAAGTTTTAACGCCACAATGTAATGCGTGCTATGTTAACATGAGATCTTAACCTGAGGGGGGAGGCAGTACTGTGTCCAAGAGACCTGGAATGGCGTATTTGGTATACATCTTACAGGCCTTTGCATGAAGCTTATTCAAGGCATTTCACATCGAATTACTTAAAAGGGATCGATAAGTCATGTCCTGTGAGCTAGTACACATTAGTGCTGGAATGAATCTCCCAGACCTGACCACTGGAACAGTGTGTGAGTATCTCAGGGGTGAGACCTATGGTGAAACAGGAAATTGATGTCATTGTTGATGTTTTAAGACCATGACAGCTTACTTAAAATGTCTCCTTTGCATCGAATATACACGCGCTCACTGCGCACAGCTTAAAGTGCTATCGTAAGCCTACAGTGGCGTCACATTACTTAACGTATCACCAGCTGTGGTCTAGCCACTGCTGGAAAAAAGCCTCCCCATGCCTTCGCTATCCTTCACCATCCTGCGATGCCATATTGCACCTTGCTCCGGCTTGCAAGCCGATCTCAATGCTCCATGTATGCGGTAGCTGCGGTTCCCCCCTTTGGCTGCTATTGCATCGCCAGTCTCGCCCATCGGCCAACATCCGTGCGAGCGATGTGTCCTGCCCAATGCCAATAACGTCCCTTGTGAGTCAACATCATACAATTGTATACGAGTAACTCTACATGGTGGGAAAGGGATGACTTTACTCTTCAACGTGAATGTAACCACGTCTAAGCCGCAGCTAACTATAACACATGCCACGTGAACATCTGCGCCTGTTATTCAGCAACGTGACAAAACTGGCGTTCTGTTTCAGTGTACCACCCGCCGTACCAGACGATGTACATCCACGCCAAATACCGGGCCAATGCTTGCAGCTCCAAGGACATAGTAAAGCGTGAACAGTGGATCCGCTATGAGCTGAACTCTCTCCTTGTCAGCACAAACTGCATCGTCCAGAATCCCACATGGGAATGCTATGAAATAGGCAAACCCGAAGCCGTGGATTGGAAGCTGACAGTGGAGTACGTTGCTCATTTTTCCTTCATGGGTAAGGCTGCCGCGGTGTGGTTGACGACAGTGCTGATCTGCGCGAGAAAATCGAGAAGCTTTAGTCTTGAAAGATCAAATAGCCTCTGAAATGGCCAATTCCACGTGGGAGTTAGGCCGATAAATACAAATGCAGGATGTATTTGTTGCCTAAGCCGATGTGTTGGGACTAGGAGGCCTGCTTACAACCAAATCCCCCCAAAATGACACTAAATTGAGACCAATATAAAAAAAAATCTATGAAGCTAAGCAGGTTGAAGCTTGGTTGGTACTCTGTTGCGAGACTTCCGGGGGAGTGCCAGGAGTGGTAGGCTTTCCATATGAGGTGGTCAGGATATGTCAGAACAGCAATTGTTTGAATAAAGGTGGACAGACCCATTCCACCAGGGCCCATACTAACTACGCTACATCGCTGATTTTGCCACTCATATCCAGCTGTTGAGTCTCAACCACAGCTTATGCCCACGTGGTAGCCATTGGCTAAGTATTGACACAAACGTAGCAAGGCGGGGCTGGTGAGCATGATCGTTTACGTATTGCATTTATTTTTATTGATCTTTTGTTTATCTGACAGTCTATCCCTACGGTGATGGCTGGAACAAGTATTGCACTTCTGATGATTCCATCTCCTGCCAAACTAAAACGAACACGCGCCTACAAAAGGTGACAACTCTTTGCGTGCACAGCGACGGTACCAGCGATGTGACATTTTAATTCTAGCATACATTTGTTAAATGCACATTTCATTTGATAAGTTTTGCATCGTTCACTTTTGAATCGATAGGACATATAAGTATACACCTGTGCTTTGCATTTTTGCCCTTGTGTGTCTGTGCAGGCCTACAGTTTAATACAAGTGTTCTTAAAAAAACAGACGAATGGGGCATTTTCCGATCAAAGCTTGGCTCCATTGCTCTTTTACATGAAAGGCTCAATGCAAGCGTTGAGGATAAGCCACTGCAAGCCAGGTTTCGGGAAGAACTACACGAGATACATGTGTGACCAATGCTGTGGTAAGAACATGACAGTATTATTTAATGCTTCAGGCTAAAGTCTTCGTCCGTGTTGGAGAATTGGGCTGGTATACAGGATGTCGTGGGTTCGATTCCGATCCTTGGCGCCTGTTGTATTGTTTTAGTTTTTGTTGTAACGTTCTTACCCCGTGCCCCGACTGGAAATCTGTGAAAAAGAGCTCTATAGCTCATCGGATTCCTCCAGTATAAATAAATATTCTGATTCTGATGTGTCACGTGACATCAGGTGACACTACTTTTGACAGAACGAAGTCACGTTAAAGCATTACATTTTAATGATCTGAATACCTGAAATATATCCGAAATTATCTTTCAATACCTGAACATTTTAGATTCGAAACTCATCCTCGATGTTCAGGTTGGACAGATGCCTTGCGGAAAAAGCGAGCGGCTTCCAATCAGAAAGTTACGATTTCAAATCCCGGTTGGGGTATGACTCGGTTCACCATCTCTCTGGGGTTGATCAAATGAGTCGCACTTTATGGAAAAGCCAACAGTGGAGAGACTCACTTCCACCATTGGCTCGGCTGCAAACAGGAGCTGAGTCCCTTTCCCTCAATGCCATTCTAGAAATAAACGTACAAACCCTAACGCGCACGTGCGTGTCTTTTGAATGTACTTTACACAGTTGTTTGCGATCCTGGGAAGTTCACATCCACAGCCAACACCTTCTGCCACTCGTGCCTTATTGGTTCCTACAATCCGCACTATGGAGCAGCCATCTGCATCGATTGCCCGCAAGATTACGTGACCCTTAAAAGGGGCAGCACATCCCCCAAAGATTGTGTATGTGAGTACAGGTAACCTGGCGAGTGATTTAAAACATTTTTAGACTATTTACCGAATTATCAGGATTATTAGATGCACATTTCCTATCCCCTCCCCCCCGCCCTGTATTTTAAAGTGAAGGTGGTATGTCTGATAATCCAGTAGGTGGCTTCAGCTTGCGTGACCAAAATTGTGACTTAATTTCCACCGCCACAAAATTTTGGGGTGCGGCTTTTGGTTTACCGTCGTATAATCCGTAAATATTGTGAATGTGGTTTTGTGCTTTGCGATCACTGAAGGTGTTCCTAATTAATCTGGCGTTGTTGCCTTTATTGTCATCATCGCCACGGTGGCTAGATGTGAACTACCTCACCTGGTATACAGGAGGTCGTGGGTTCGATTGATTCCTACACCTGTATATTTGGAGTTTGCGTGGTCTCTCTCTCCCCGTGATCACTTGGATTTTTCTCCGGGCCCTCTGGATTTTCCCTCCACATTTATAAACATGAATTTAAGAGTATTTGGCTGCTATAAATGTCCACATAAGCCACTTCGTTGAGCAATCATTTGTGGCCAGGTCGCTTCTGAAAAAGAGCTAATGGCTCTGTAGGCCTTACCTGGTAAAATAAAAATCTAGTTTAAGATTATATGTGGGACGAGGATTAAATAACTTTACTGGCACAGGATACAGCCAACAACTTTCTTGCCACACAGCCACTTCCACTGTACAGTAAAACCTTGGATTGCGAGTTACTTGGTCTGCAAGTGTTTTGCAAGAAGAGCAAAACATTGTAAATAAATATTAATTTGACAAACGAGCGAGGTCTTGCAATACGAGTAGTACGTATACGCTTTGCCGAGCGTCACGTGATCACAACTGATATACGAGTGCTTTGATATACGAGTGCTTTGGATTACAAACACGTTTCCGGAACGAATTATGCTCGCAATCCAAGGTTTTATTGTATTCTCTTTATTTTGTATTTTCCCGATTATAAGGATTTTTTTTTCCAGTGTCCACTCTGTTTTAATAATTTTATGTATTCCACCCTTGTTTCTCACTTTCTCGGGCATTGTATTTTCCATAAAAGTTGGATTTTTGTTCGAAATGTCCCCAAAGCTTGGGCTGCGTCATTTCCAGAGAATATGGAAATACTGAATGTTCAATATCCAATGTAAAAGTCAATGTTTAAACTCCTGCACAGTCAATAATTTAAATATCAACTCATATCCGGTCTTAACACAAACCGGAATAATGTGAGTGCCTTGTAATTTGCCATAATTACACTTAAGGAAATTATAATTGATTATTTAATTTACATTAATTTAAATTGGTGCCACTTTTTGCCTGCACGGAAACATGAGTGCTACTCACGTGTTCTACATCGAATATACGAGTATAATGGTTGGAGCTTAACTGGCTGTTGTTCACTAAAAATAGTGGCTCAACACATGCAGCTAAATATTCCGTACTGATGTATACTGTGTACTGATGCTGGCTGCTATATACTGTGTATGCATCAGTACGTTAACAGAAATGCTGTCCGTCTATGATTGCAGTGCCACAATCTCTGCGCAGGCTGATTGGAATAACCGTCGGTGCAACATTGGGTGGGGTCCTGTTGTTTGCCATTCTATTTGCCATGTAAGTATTTCATAAACTATTTAAAAACATAATTTCAGCTGAATTAAAGTGCTATTTTGCGTTAATGCTATTGACCTCACCTCACCCCACTACCGTACTCTACACGATGACCAAATCATGCTTCATCCACCCAGCCTTGTCTGATCTGAGGTGGAGAGTAGTGGTGTTGGGGGTTACAATAACCCTCATAAAGATGCGATTTAAAGGAGGGGTGATTTGAAAGAATTACAAAATCCATGCGTGTGCATGATGTTCTTCGTTTTTTTTTTTAGAATCGTGAAATGCTGCTGCACAGAGCCACATGACATTATGGCTCTGGCTTGCATGGAGAAAAAGATGCAGAAGAAAATTCAAGCGCTGCACGAATTCATACGCAATGTGGATTTGGTAAAAGCCAAGAGAAGGTTAAAACCTTGCCCCATTCTGACCAAACAGGAGGAAAGCACCGAATATGACAGTGAAGAAACCTCCATCTCATACGAGTCGGACCACAGCTATTAAAGGCTGCGCTCAGGACCAAGAGGAAGGGCTCAAATTCATCAGTATTCAAATCGTTTGACAAGAATTACATCCTTTAGATACACCGAGTCCAATATCACCTGTAAAATATTGCAGCCAATCTCACAAAGCTATGGCAAGAAAAACTTGTAATACTGTTACATACTTAACAATTCTGTGAAAGCATCTAGTGTAAGACAAAGTCTCTAATGTTAGATGTTGCACGGACTTCTTCCAAATAAGAAGAGCAGCTTACATGTTGTTATACAACTGACATTTTTCAAACTCCAGTGTCTGTTGCTATAAAGAATAGGTGTCAGTGCAGTGGTATTGCCGAGTTAAGTGTTTATATTCCTAGTAAATGCATGGCATACAGATGGCAACATTTAATTAAATATTTTCATAACTTGAGAGCGATGTATATCTTCCATGGAAATGCATTTTATTTTGATATTTTTAGCGATTTTGACAAACCCAGAGCGATTAACGTGTAGATACTAACATACATCTCGTGCGGAGAGACATTATCAGCCATCATAAAGCCACTACTGGATTAAGGCCTCCCAAAGATGTCACCATCACTCATGGTTCATCCAGCACCGACACACGAGCTGATTTCATTGCTCAATCTCTGGCATGTTCAATCCTCCGGCTTGTACTCGGTCCACTGGTCTCGACCACGGGCCATCAGGACATTGATAATGAAATTGTGTCACCTGGTTTCTTTTGCCAAGATTGTGGTGTTGCCATACCACAGTCTTGGCAGCTGTGGTTCTATTCATCCACGTTGTCGACGCACACAAGTAGCGATTTCCTGCTCAAATGAGCATTGATTTGGTGTTCATCTCCTGTTTACAGCCCAGAGCCAGTGGTGAAAATTCCTCATTCCTATGGTGGGGGTGGGTCATAATGTAGGACAACCACTCTTGGCTTCTCCACAATGCAGTAGTCATGTTATCAACCCTGGAGAAATTAGGGGCCGAGTTAACGGCCGATCAGGATTTGAACTCGCAACCATCCCGTTTACGAGCCGCTCATTCGACCGCTGCAACACCAGGAAGGCATTGTAATTGTACAAATGTAATCGTAAAATAAAGGGAGTATACAAATGTGTTCAGTAGCAACAAACGTTTATTCGGAACAAAAAATGTCTAACTTTAAAACATGTATGCGTTGACTGCAATTTGTATTTGTTTAAAATTGATTACCGCGATGGGTTTAACACTTCTTCTTGGTTCTTTCGGTAAAGTCACGTAGAAGGGAAATAATAAAAGTTAAAATAATAAAAGTTATATTTTTATTATTTTATTATTTCCCTTCTACGTGACTTTACCGAAAGAACCAAGAAGATGAATCCCTGCAGTCACGAAAGCTTTAAATCGAGGTTTAACACTTGTTCTTGCTCTGCAGCGAAATATTCCAACGGACATGAAATTTAAACAAATAAAACGTGTGCATTTTAAATAAATGACTTATTTTAAGACATGTTCCACGTGGCTGTGAATTCGGTCTATATCTGCCAGCTGTGTGTGTGGTGACCATCATCATCATTGGCCACGGTCTATCCAAGCCCTCCACCACCTTCCACGATCCTGCGATGTAATAATACAACCAAGCACCGGCCCACGAACTCATTTCATCGCTCCGACTCCTCGGTGGACGGTACTCTCAGATGCGTTCCAATCTTCTTGCGCGATCAATTGCATCCAAGCGAAGCTGTCGTGCTTGCAATCATCCGGCTGCGAGTGCGTCCACTTCTCATGTTGCAGGAGGCCAGCACGGACCGCAGCGCCTGGGCATAAGCTTCGCAGAGAAACACAAGGTCGGACGCTACACGGGAAGCGTGCAGCGGTGGTGCGAGACATAGCCAAACGGAGCAAAAGCTGAGCAGCCCAAGGGGCCCCCAGGTTCATGCGAGAGAAAAAAATGGATGCATCAAACGTCCGCTAGAAATCATTTGGTAAAAAAATACAACTTATATTGAAATTGAGAGGAATAAGAATAACTTTAATCGCTCTGACAGCTACAGGCTTAGTGCGGCCTGGAAGCGTATTATTAAATAATACACATTACATTTTGATTTCAAGAATTACTAATCTATTACTCATTACTAATCATAACCAATGACTGATTACTAATCGATTATATAATTACAATACCCCCCCCTCCGCCTCTAATCACTGCACCTGATATGAGTTAAGTGATGACGTCACCCTGCTGCTCTATATAAAACCGGGAGCAAGCGAGGGCTTTACCATTCTGGCGAATTGCCCGATGATGCTGGATGTATTTACCAGCGAAACGTCGTACTCAAACTGTAAATGTGCATTCACTCTTCAACACACCGGTGGGCTAAAGTAGTGAATTATTTGTCTTTTGTCAACGTGACACTTTTTTTGCTGATTGGCCGTGTCGGGTGGTGGAGGGTTACGACTCATTTATAAATAAACGCGATCTAACCCAAAAACCTTTATTATGAATTATATAAGCTAGTTAATATTCCAATCCTGTCTGCAGTTCTCTTCTCTCATCTGACCACATCTGTCTTTTGTCCAAATCACTCGATTCATCATATTTCAGTGTCATCTGTATCTCCTCCTCAAACGCATGTGGCAGGCAGCACGAATAGCAAGGGTATCAAGGCTTCAAGTTTGCAAACAGCACGTGGTGTAAGTGACAAAGAGAATTTCCGTTAATGCGTTGGCAGTGGTACACAAACGCGCACACACACACACACGACAAAAAACTCAACATGTTCGTCATGCACATGTCAACCGATATGCTCTGCAGAAGGACCATGGCCCAAAACGTCACCTATTGTATGTTTCCTTTTAAGGCAGTATTACTGACGAAAGTGTTTTTTTTTTACGAACAAAATTGGTTTAAGAGAGCTCACCAACACGTTACATCATTAGGCGCATAGATTCACCTCCCTTTTAATACTGGTAGGAACCTCATGGTTACACCAGCCCACAGGGGATTATTGTGTCCGTCCGTCGTGCATCCAAAAATGGGAGGGGTGGGGCTGGGTGGAGAGGGGAGGGGTGGGGAGGGGCTGGGGTGGGGAGGGGCTGGGTGGGGAGGGAGGGGCTGGGTGGGGAGGGGCTAGGTGGGGAGGGGCTGGGTGGGTGGGGAGGGGCTGGGTGGGAGGGGTGGGGCCGGGTGTGGGAGGGGCTGGGTGGGAGGGGTGGGGCTGGGTGGGGAGGGGCTGGTCACCCCGTGGTGCCCTTATAAAACTCAACGTTTAACCTACTCACGCCGGCTTGTGCCCACCCTCACAGTCGGGCATATTTGCGGAATACACCACACCGCCGTTGACCCTGGCCATTGACCGAGCAACCCAACGTTCCTACCAACTCCCTCCGCAGGAATGTGTTTCAATGAATTGGTACGATTCCAGGTCATGATTTGAGTCAAGAATCAATAATATATACGAACATCGTGGTGAATGTAGCGTCTCTAGCCGGATGCAGGGGGTGGTGTCACGTGAACCATTTACAACAAAAATAAATATACGCACAACTTGATGCAAGTGTAGCAAGTATAAGAAACAGTTTCATTCAATAAGTAAATGAATGAATGCACTGCTACATGCATAGTCATCACTGTTAGAGCTCAAATGAATTTAATTTGTACGTGTTGACACATTTTCATTCAGCATGCAACAATGCATCAAATCAAGTATTCTCGATGCTTTGAGACTCTTCAGCCACCCTCACCTTAGAATTGTGTCATCTAAAATGTCATTTTCGGTTATTGTAGATATTGTGGTTTACGAGTAATACTGAGATAATAATTATAATGAAAATGTATAAAGCGCTCTTAAAAAAACGTTCTCAGGGCGCTATGCATGGAGAGGCGGAAATAGTTTAACATCAACCGAGGAAAGAAGAGGCGAGAAAGACGTTTGAAAATAACTAAAAAGAGAGAAAGCCATTTTAAAAAGAAGACGTTTTTAGTGGATATTTGAAGATTGTTTAGTATATTCACAGGTTGAAAGAGATCTGACTTTCAAGATTAGCTACTTGCTGCCTTAGACGTGGTGAATCGTTTCAAGCTTCACGTCTATCGTGCAATAACTCATTGAGCACTCCTTGATCCCGGACCACGAGTGTAATGGAATTATGCATTGTGGGTGTACCATTCGCTGCATACCCTTCTCATTCTTGTAGAATGCACAGTTGTTGGCGCAGCTGTCGGGGTGCGAATCCCAGAAGCTGTCGCCACAGAAGCACATGGGGGGCAGCAGGATATTTTTCTTCTCTATTTCTTTCAACGTTTGCATTCTCAGCGCCTCGATAAACCTGGCAACAATGAATTTGAAGAAACAAAACCATGGCAGCCAGGTCACGATTTCTCACGCGAAGGTATTCGCGATGGTGCCAAACTCTCCAGTGTTTTTTTGGGGTTTGTACGCCGCGCATTGTTCTGCACGACGTCCCCGATGTTCCGCTCTACGCGACGGGGGCCTTCTTCAGGACCTCAAAAAGCAGCTCTCCCAGCACGTGGAGGAAACCGTCGGACATCATGCCGAACACGCGGTACAAACCAAAAGCACATCGGAGAGCTAGAACATACAATTTATGGATCAACCATGATTTATTCATGACCAAAACGCTGTCTTCTTCAAACTCTTAAGTCTGTGCGCATTTTTGTACCCCGATTTTGTACAGTATCGTAATACGCGCGTGGCACATTTTTATTTTAAATTGGATTTCAACACAAGCTCGCTACTGAGCACAAACCGCAACGTGGGGAAGGGGGGGGGAGCCACAGAAACTCCATGGACAGAAGTCCCCCAAACTTTGTGCTCCTGGGTTTAGTGAGGGAACAAATTGGGCTCACTGTGAGCAGGGTACTTTTATATTTTCAGTTTCATTTATTAGGATTTACCCTGTGAGCCATTCGGCTCTTGATTTGGGTGCAACCGCAACAAACAATACAATTACAAGATACACCTAAAAGTCACTGTACACAAATCTAAACATCACATACATAAATAATAAAATCCTACAGAAAAAGCACCACCCGTTCCATTCTGCGTACAAAAAGTGCAAAAAATTCTATGTTTGATCCCAATAACAATCAATACAATACAGATCAACATTTTAAGTATAAATCTATACTAAATAAATAAAAAATCGGGCCAAACCAAGCTCCTCTAAAACTTACTAAAACAATGCTATCTAAACAACGTTAAAACAGTTTTCCCAACAAATGTGATTAAAAGTTTACAATAGCGACACACACACAACACACATCACTAAACCTGGGGAGGGGACGATAAGGGAGGAAGAACAGGGAGTAGGGGACGGGAGTAGGAAAAGCAGGGGGTGGATATGCGTGTCGCATCTAAGACGCATCCAAACCGTTTTGTAACGTGACCGAGCGTTGGCGTTATTTCCTGCTAGTCACGAAGGTTCGCGGTTTATAACCCCTGGTGGTTGACATTTGCTGGTGCACGAACCAAAATATGTGCGCCGTCCTGCTTGAGAGTGGATGTGTTAAAGGTGTACTCAATAAACTACGGTGAACGTCGCTCGCACCTGACGGTTTCTTTATTTCGCTGCAGTTCCCTCGTCACCGTCACCTTTTGTTGCTCGTCCTTTGACCGAATAATTCGTTTCCTCTCCCGCTCCTCCTCAAGAGCCGACACGATCTTCCGTTCTTCAATCTGCCTTGCTTTTTCCTTCGCAGCTCTGATCCTGGGTTGGCACAACAAAAGAGAGTGAGTTTAAGGCAAACTTCAAAAGCACGCACGTGAACCCGTTCGTTCCTGTTCCGGGACATCTGCAAGTTGCAGGGTTGGGCGTCGTGTTCACCTCTGAATCTCGGAACGCGCAGGCGGCCGAGTGTTAATTGTATTCAGAGAGGCGTAGTGCTGCCGGTTTTTTTTTAAAGACTTTGTACTGTACTCACCCGCATAGAACTGTGGCGACATGACCGCTACTCAACGATAGACGGCGCCAAACTGTGCACACACACCCCCTCCCGCACGGCCTTTTACTTCCGATTCCGTTAGGAATCGATTCCGTTCCAATGACGTAAACAAACGTATTCGGAACGGAACCTGAAGAAAAACTTATGACGAACACGTACGTACGTCACCGGAAACGAGTTAAATGACAGATGACATTATAGCAAAGTAATATCCCACAAACAAATGACAAAATCACCCAGAAAACCACTAGATCTTGTCAGATCTTCGAAGCTAAGCAGGTATAAAATTGGATAATGCTCGGATGCAGGGCTACGTGGTGATCAGCAAAGGGCAATGCAGTAAAATCCACTGGTGTACTGCGATAATATGCTCCCACATCTATTCACCTCACCAACGCACACTGACCAGCGATGTGAATTATCGTCAAATAACCCCCATTGCCTGCTTGGCAGAGGGAGGCCCTCATGCACAAGTGGATTGACAGAGCAATACATGTATATTATTGCATAGGCAAAATAATTGTTCGTCACAAGCAGGATTGTATGCATGTATTCATGAGCATCAGAATCTATTTTAATTGATGAATCAATGCATTTACTTCATGTCTAATGTTTAGACCTTACATATTTGTACATGATTGGGTGATTCACGTAATGTCACACCTGTCAACTCATACGGTTTACCCATATTCTTGTACAAAGAAATTGAGTATTCAGGTCCATACGGCGTACTGCCGTTTCCATACGGGAAAAAAATGATACATTTGTTTGTGTTTCTCCCTTGTGATGGGACTTTGTGGGATGAACGTTGAGATGTATAAGGGCACAGGGTGACCAATACGGTCTGAATTGGTCCGTAATAAGGTAGGGCACTGATAAGGGGTTGACAGGTTTGTAATGTGGACCTGGACCACCTGTCAGCTACCATATTCTACGGATTTTCAGATGGACTTTTTTCCGTGCATTTTCAAAGCAGAGGTGGTTTGTGTGTGACCAGAATTTGTGTAACATTATCGACACACGTTTTGGGAACATCTTAGGGGCCGTCCATAAATGACGTCACGCACCCGGGGCGGGGGGGGGATCAGTAATTTGTGACGATGTGTGATGGGGGGTTTGAGAAATGTGACGTCACATCAAAATGCGCACCTTTAAATAAATATAGACAACACGTTCTACTGAATTAGACTTTTTAAAAAATGTTTTTTCTCCTACAACATCAGAGTGCAGCTCCACATTAAATACGCACTATGGGGGGGGGGGGGGCAGAGTTTTGTGACGTCATATTTGAGGGGGGGGGTCTGACTTTTTGTGACGCCGTGTGACGACGGGGGGTGGGGGGGGGTGGGGGTCAAAAATCGTCCAAAATCGCGTGAGGTCATTTATGGAAGGCCCCTAACTCTCCGGAACATCTTACAATTGGGTGTTTGTGTGTCACCAGATTTGTGTAACTCTTTACTGACAACTGGACACAAGTCTGGGGTACGTCTTACTAATCCCGGAGACTCATCACCTGGCCATTCTCTTCTGGTGTTCCTTTTGCCTGCAGTGCTCCTTCACTCGCTCTCTCTCAAGGTCCTGAAAAACTCTCCGCAACGTTGAGTACCGAGTCTGTTTCTGCACACACAGACAAGACCAAAAAAAAAAGATCCCCCCCCCCATTTTGCCTTATAAATTGCTCAATCCAAACTATTAATACTGGCACATGCGTTTCCTTTGTACAGTTCGCCTTTTGTCGTTTTCTGGTCTAACACTGGTGAGACAAGGCCATAAAGAAGGCCGTCTCTGGTGTAGGGCAATCAGATTAAAAGAAAGTGCGTATATCATCAGAACATGTTTGTTTGCATACGTGTGGTTCATGCAGACTTGAACATGTTAACACCTGTATTAATATTACTGGTTCTTTCGGTAAAGTCACGTAGAAGGGAAACAATAAAAATATAAAACAATAAAATTATCACGACGTTTCGACTGCAACACAAGCAATCATCATCAGGTGTGAAAACCACAGCAAGAAAATTTGAAAAAAGCTGTGGTTTTCACACCTGATAATGATTGCTTGTGTTGCAGTCGAAACGTCGTGAGAATTTTATTGTTTTATATTTAAATTATTTTGTTTCCCTTCTGCGTGACTTTACCGAAAGAACCAATAAAATGAATCCATGCAGTCACGAAAGCTTTAAATCAAGACTTGAACATGTTAACACATTGATTTGAAGTTTTAGTGACTGCAGGAATCCATACTCTTTGGTTCTTTTGGTAAAGTCACGTAGTTAGAAATAATTTTATTATTTTATTTCTAACCACGTGCCTTTACCGAAAGAACCAAGGAGTATGTTAACACCTGTATTAATGCTAGAATGGGTGAAGCCTATTCTTATATTTTTCATTAAACTATGTGTGTGGGACCAGATTTTTATTACGTTATTCAGAAACAGCATATTTATACTGGAGGAATCCAATGAGCTCTAAAGCTCTTTTTCACAGATGTCCAGTAGGGGCACGGGATCAGAACGTTCCTACAAAAAATAAAAAAAATACCTGCCACATGTTTGAGGAGCATCTCCCCCGATTAGCATGATTGGCCGAGTACGGTGTGAAAGAAGTTCAACATACATACATACACACTTTCCGAAGTTTCTTATAATCCGGAGAATATGGGAGCAGGACAGCTTCCTACCTGCATAGTAGAGGTCACGCCGTTTGGCAAGGGTCCCTGTACGCGTTTCTCCTGAGGGTCCTGCACATCCACGGGCTCCGTCCAATCATCCTCTGACTCATCCCCAGCACGACTCTCCGGCTCTCTGGGTACGACGGGCATTTGCCTTGAGGTGTGATTCTAAACGTGAAAAAAAACGAGCAGGCAACACGTGGCACGCTTAGCAATTGGAGAGACGCTGGTTTATTCAACGTCCCGATATGCAGTCATCATACATGGGAGCATATTTGTACAGTACAACGATAGATGTTGTTGCACTTGTGTACCGCGTACACATCACTGTATCCTGTGCGCATGACAAATAAACTATTATTTTACTTCACTCTGCTGGTCACAAGGCATTGTATCTATATATGTTTTTAATGGTGTACTACCATGCAGACACTTCATTCTGCGTACATCTTTAAAAGCGGCCACTTTCCAGAAATCGCCAGGCAGATCAGATGTCGCACTTCCACCCGGCTCGATTTTCCGCGTTGCCAGCTTATCCATCGCTTGTCTTCGAAACGTGGGCACCTGGGACAAAGTACAGTGTTTCTTGTAACATTTACTTGCTTAAAGCACGATGCTCAATAAGCATTTGGCAACGATGTGAACACAACATGCATGTTTGTGACTGAAATAATCGTTAGTGTGCTAAAATGCAGTTGCATTTTCATCTAGATTTAAACAAATACACTTTTTTGAAGTCATGCCACACCTTGGATAGTCACACATAAATTAACTATTCAGTGTCCTTTAAAACATATACTCCTGATACAGTCTCAAACAATTTCTCTGCAAGTGTTTTTTTTAACCGACTGCTCCGTGATTTTCACGAGTTATTAACTGCCATATTATCGCTCGCGACGACTTTAATGTACCTTTGTCTTCGCCGTTCCTCGATCGCTTAGCATTTTTCGCTTGCGAATTTTTGCGCAACATTAGTTGCGAATAACGTACCTCGAGGGGATGCTTTCTCTCGCCAAACTCCTCTTGGTCATGGCCTGCAGCTGCAATACGGACGCCCTTCCTCTGTGGACTGCAGATTTGAAGGCCGGGTGCATCTCGAAAAAGGCACGTGTCCCTCTTAGACAGGAAGCCATCTGCCAAACTGGCCGCGTGACTTATCTTTTCAAACTGTGCACAGTCAGAAAGAAGACAAATGTTCAGTGAGACACGATGGCAAATTATATTTGCTTCAACGCCTCATCTAAACTGGGCGCCACGGTGGCGAGATGTTATCTACCTCACCTGGTACACAGGAGGTCATGGGATCAATCCTGACCCTGACGCCTGGATGTCTGGAGTTTGCATGTTCTCCCCATAGTCGCGTGGATTTTTCTCCCTCCACATTTAGAATCGTCCGTGAAGAGTATTTGGCTACTATACATTTTCTGCACCTCCGATTAGCAGTTGGCTACGTATGGTGCGAAAGAAGTTCAACATACATACATGTGATAAGCCACTTCGTTGAGCTATCGTTTGTGGCCAGGACCCTTCTGACAAAAAGCTATGTAACTCAGTGGGCCTTACCTGATATTTTTTTTTTACATAGTTTAAACATTTGTTTGACACATTTTTAAAAACCACATGTTGGTTGCTAATTTCAAATTTAAATATTGAAACTGCCTATAATCGCCTTCAACAGTCACTGGAAGGTTTTTCCACCATAATAACTTGTTTTTATCAATTGTACTTTTATGTAACTATGCACAAAGAAATCTGCTAGCTGGACTTCTAGAAGAACTGCCAGTCGGCGATATTCTGCACAAAACATTTAATGCTATATTTAGGAAACCTACCAGGGATGTAATAATAAATTGATCCGTCGATTAATAACAATTCTTAAGCTCAAGATACGTGTACTAAATCAAATGTGCAACAATATAAAAAAATATATGCAACATACACGACTGCATCTAGAGAGAGAAAGTGAAGAGAAAAAGAGATGAGCGGGATGAGAGAGAACTCCTCCAAGCTTTAGAAGCATCTACAGACATTGCACGCGTTCCAATCTTCGTAGGCCAACATCATTATCCGCGAAATTTTCTACAACACGAGCATCTCCACAACGTATCCCAAATGTATCCCTGATCCCGAATAACGTTCGGGGTGAATAAAATAACGTTGCCTTATCCCGTAACAACGTTCCCTCAAATCGAATAATGTATCCCTAGTCACGAATAACGAGGGAATGGTGTACTTCGTGCACAGCGCTCTGTAGCTGCTGGTCTCTCTTTTGCCGCGCCTGCTGTCAACCTCCTCTGCACCTCCTGCTGGAACCTCCTCAACCTCTCCCCTCCTCTCCTTGGGGAGTTCACTCAGCCTCTCGTATCCCTCATCCCAAATGTATCCCTCGTCGCGAAAAACGAGGGAATGGTGTACTTCGTGCACGGCGCTCTGTAGCTGCTGGTCTCTCTTGAGCCGCGCCTGCTCAGTCACCCTCCTCTGCACCTCCTGCTGGAACCTCCTCAACCTCTCCCTCTTCTCCTTGAAGAGTTCACTCAGCCTCTCCTCCTCCAGCTCCGCTGCCACCTGCAAAACAAAGGCGGCAAACGGGGACCCACGGAGAATCAGAATAATCGTTCAGCCGTCCAGAGGGTTTAGTAAGAGATCGGTTAAATGGGGACACATGATGGTGTTATAAACCAAGGCCGTAGCCATGGAGTCAACATTGGGGGGGGGGACCAAATCTTCCAGGGGGTCTGGGGGTCCCAACCCAGAAAAAAAAATTTAAATTTGAAAACTCATTTCCTGCCATTTCCTGCCTAAAATATAAAAAAAATTCACTCACGCATGGGATGGACTTTTAATTTATTTTTCACAATAATGTCTAATAGTGTATTGTATTACATTGCTCTGTTTTTACTTTATTTTACCATTTCTTGTTTCATTGTATGATTGAGATTAGGGATTAATAAAGTACAACCACAACCACAATCATATAAACAGAAATCTATGCATTGATTTATATGAAGACAAGTTCAGATATTGTGGCCAAGGTTTAGCAAATTGTTTTATTTTATTTACATAGCATAGCAATTATTACTTCTTAAAATATTTTTATAGCAATATATGGGGGGGGGGGGGCATTTTGAGCATATTTGAATATTGGGGGGGGGATATGTGTGTCCCCCCCCCCCAATATATTATAACTACGGCCTTGGTAAGAGATCAGTTAAATGGGGACATATGATTGTGTTATAAAACATCAACAGCATTGTCCTGAGTCTAAACCCCGTCAGTCAAGCCGCCACACACTGCAGGGGCGTGGTAAAGTTACGGAGGGGTTTATTTTTACGTTTCCGAGAAAAAATAGACTACATAAGAGGTTTTTGGAGTTGAGATCGCGTGAATGTGTCGTTAAACCCCGCCACCACCCGACACAGCCAACTAGTAAGGGGTTCATATTCTTGGTTCTTTCGGTAAAGTCACGGAGAAGGGAAATAATAAAAATATAAAACAATAAAATTCTCACGACGTTTCGACTGCAACACAAGCAATCATTAGTCGAAACGTCGTGAGAATTTTATTGTTTTATATTTTTTATTATTTTATTGTTTCCCTTCTACGTGGTGACTTTACCGAAAGAACCAAGAATATGAATCCCTGCAGTCACGAAAGCTTTAAATAAAAAAAATAGTAAGGGATTGTCACGTAAACAGAACGTGGCCAATTCGTCACTAGTACACCACCACCGGTTGTGTGTTGGAGAGCCAAGCTACAACATTTACAATCTTGAGTACGACGTTTCGCCGGTAATTACAGCCAGCTTCATCAGGCGACAGCCACATTTGTGGAGAAGTCCTCCTGTTTCGTTCCTTATATAGATGCGTAGATGACCACGCTTCTGCGCTCTTGCACAATGTGGGGGGGGGGTATTACTGAGGCAACGTTCATAGTTCCATTTATTTGGTATAGCCCTGCGAGCCATTCGGCTCTTGAATCGGGTGCAAGCACAACAAACAAAAACATGAACAAAGAAAACATCTTAAAGTGACTGTGTGTGACTGCGCGAACAGAAAATCCAGGAAAAAAAAACACATCAAAATATTCCTGAAATAGCACCGTACACCAACGCTGCATTATGCATGTGCATTATGGGATCCCTTTGAACTTGTCCTTCCTGTCTATTGTGTTTATTGATACGGCGTGAGGAGGAGCTTCATCTAGCGGCGGATTGATACTAAAAAAAATAAAGACTTTAACAAAACAACAACTCACCGCAGCCGCGTTCAGAGGCTCCCCCCGATCGCCGGCCCCCTCCAGCCACACGCCGACCGGTGCCACCTCACGGGCCCTGCGGCCCAACGAGGCACGGGCACCCCTCATGGGTTTACCCCTTCACTTGCCTCTCTCTCTCTCCCTCTCTCTACCTCTCTTGCTTTCTCTTCTCCGGCGGCTCGGCACCGACGGGGCCGACGCGCGATCTCGCGCGGCCACAGCGAGCGCCAAAATTTCCCGCCGCGGTCCATGGCAACGGCGTGCGGGGGTGGAGGATGTGACGCCACACGCCACACACCCCACCCCCTCCAAACAACCAATCAACGTCCACCTTGGTAGGGGATGTGGAGTCCGGCGCTGTGTCCCCTATCTAAGATGGCAGCCGTTCGAGTGCGGAGGCGTCCATCTTGGGTGAGAGTTTACTCAATGGCGTGCGATTAGTTGATGGCTGGGGTGTCGCCATCTTGTCGGGGATGGAGTTAGAGGGAGAGATGACGCTGTTCCCCCACCTAAGATGGCAGCCATCATAGTGCAGAGGCGTCCATCTTGGGTGAAGATTACGCAATGGCGTGCGATTGGTTGATGCGGGGGTGTCGCCATCTTGGTAGGGGATGGAGTTAGCGATGGCGCTATTCTCTCACCTAAGGTGGCAGAAATCCGAGTACATAACGTCCATTTTGGGTGAGGAATAGCGTGAGATTGGTTGATGCTGGTGTCGCCATCTTGGTAGGGGATGAAGCATGGAGGGAGATGGCGCTATTCTCCCGCCTAAGATGGCAGAAATCCGAGTACATAGCGTTCATATTGGGTAAGGATTACGCAATGACGTGATTGGTTGATGCTGGGTGTCGCCATCTTGGTAGGGGATGGCGTTCCAGAGGGAGAGATGGCGCTGTTCCCTCGCCTAAGATGGCAGCCATGCGAGTACAGAGCGTCCATCTTGGATGAGGATTACGCAATGGCGTGCGGCTGAGTGTCGCCATATTGATAAAGGGAAGCGTCCCTATAAGCGTCCTCACTACGATTGATAATGCAATGTTACCGTAAGTCCTCGCTTAACGCGTGTTCACGCAACGCGTTTTCATGCGCTGATAATATATGCATTGTCTTTTAAACTGGTAATATATGCATTTTCGTTGAAATTGATAAAATTTGCATTCTTTTGAAACTGATAATATATGCATTGTTATTCTTAGTTCTTTCGGTAAAGTCACGTTGAAGGGAAACAACAAAATAATAAAATATATATAAAACAATAAAAATTCTCACGACGTTTCGACCATAACACAAACGGTCGTCTTCAGGTGTGTTGGTTTGCATAAATTTATTTAATTTAAACGGTGTATTTTTTTAAATAAAAAACGTCAGCACCACGCGCAGCGATTTGGCAGTTTATTTAGGACTAGTCCATCTATATTCTGAAAAGAGGAGGGGGGAGACGAATTTTTTTTAATGTATGCTGTCTGAAAGCCACTGTAAGCGTGAACAATCAATTAAGACCTGAAATGGTTTATCAAATCTTTCCAATGATTGTGAACACAAAGCAGACCTTAAACACGGTAGGACCAACACCTCGGCCGTGGCAGATCATTCTTATAATTCAGTAGGCTCACATGACATTGACTTTTCCAAGACAGGTTCTTTGTAAGCCATCTGGCTACCATGAGAGATTCGTTCATGAGGCTATCCACATATACAAGCATAGAGACAATTTCAACCGAGAAGATGGATTCTATCTTAGCAATCATTGGAAAGATTTGATAAACCATGTCAGGTCTAAATTGATTGTTCACGCTTACAGTGGCTTTCAGACAGCATACATTATAAAAAAAAAATTCGTCTCCCCCCTCCTCTTTTCAGAACATAGATGGACTAGTCCTAAATAAACTGCCAAATCGCTGCGCGTGGCGCTAACGTTCTTAATTAATAAATAAACCGTTTAAAAATAAATAAATTTCTGCTAACCAACACACCTGAAGACGACCGTTTGTGTTATGGTCGAAACGTCGTGAGAATATTTATTATTTTATATATATTTTATTATTTTGTTGTTTCCCTTCAACGTGACTTTACCGAAAGAACTAAGAATATGAATTACTGCAGTCACGAAAGCTTTAAATCAAAATTTATATGCATTGTTTTTAAAAGTGATTGTATATGCATTGTCTTCGAAACTTATTGGCCTACACCAGACATTGTATTTGCACTGTTCGCCTTTTGGCGTTGTCCTCTGGTCTGACACTGGTGGTGAGACTAAGGCCATCAAGAAGGCCGCTGTCTCTGGTGTAGGTCAGTCAGTTTCAAAGACAATGCAAATATCAGAGCCGTGTTTGTTTGCATGTTTTACAACCAGTACCGTGTGTGTGTGTGGTCAATGCAGCAACTTGATTCCTTGCAAAAATCGGTATCTATTTTGTGTTTCAACATTTTAACACAACTCCTATTGTATTGCCAGAAAGGCTAAAACCTATTACTATTAATCGGTGGATTGATTGATGCATCGTCACACACACCCATTACTGTCCACGGTTTATGATTTATAACTTTTCCCCGCAAAATATAGAATAGATCTCTGAACATTTCTCCCACCACCACGCCTGCGGGACTTTAATGCCATCGCAAAACTTGGGATTGTTCACGCACGCCAAACAAAAAAATTGTTTTTACCCGCAATAAAAATCGTAAAACGCACGTATCATACTTTAAACGCCAAACTTCAAAATGTGTACACACGTTCCGTTTACATCAACAGGCAGATCACACCGATCGAGTTAACCAGGCGCTTCGTTTATTTACTGTCGACGACAAAAAAGGAACAAAAAACCACCCCCCCTCCCCAGTTTACAAAACCACCAACAGGATTTACCGGCTGTAAACATTACCACTCCAAGCCACAGCGATACGATGACGACGACGACTATCATCAAGAGAATTTTCCCACGCCATCTAGTCTTTAGACAATCCGAGGTGCTCACATTTCATTTAGCTCGGGTATACACCTACAAAACAAAGATCCTCCTCCCAAATAGTCTTAACAGACTGTAGGGGCAAGTGCTGTGAGTTAGCGGGCAGCACCTATGAAGGCTTACCCGGCACTGTGGCACACGAGGAGGGTGGGTGGGCCAGAACCACGCCCGGCCGCCTTTGTCTCCCCGGTGACGATGTTTACTACACACCGCACCAGGTACTCATTTGAGGCTGAGTTGACCTTGGGGAGGTCCAAGAGCGGTTCAGATAATGGTCACCTGTGTTGGCCAATCGAACTCGGGCCACACTACCGCTCCCCCCACACATACACACACGCACACGTGTTCAAAGATGAACTACAGCGCAACGTCGCATATCCGCCCTGACCCAATTCTTGGTTCTTTTGGTAAAGTCACGTAGAAGGGAAATAATAAAATAATAAAAAGAAAACATAAAATAAAAATAAATACAAATAAAATAACCGTCATTGTAGATAGATTTTCACGTCGATGTTCACATATGGTCACATAGATGTTCACGTATGTTCACACAGATGTTCACATAGATGCTTACATGTTCACATAGATGCTTACATGTTCACAAAGATGCTTACATATTCTAGATTTGAAGCTTTCGTGACTGCAAGGATCCATACTCTTTGGTTCTATTCGGTAAAGTCACGTAGGTCAAAAATAAAACAACAAAAATCACGACGTGTCGTGATTGTGGCCGAAACGTCGTGATTTTTGTTGTTTTATTTTTTACCTACGTGACTTTACCGAATAGAACCAAAGAGTATGCTTCCATATGTTCACATAGATGTTATCATAGGTGCTTACATGTGTTCACATATGTCCACATATAAGGTAACGTATATTCACGTAGATCAGGGGTCGGCACAACAACAAAAAAACCTAAATACTTTTAAGAGCCGCAATGCATCGTGGTGGTGAATACAAGAGGCCGGTCCTTGATCGATAGTCGCACGCGGTGCCCCGATGTTGCCGACTTAGACGTTCACATTTTCGACGGATGTTCAATTATCCGTCTGATATGCGACGTTGCACTGCACACGAGAAGCCAATCGAACGAGCTGTTTTAATTTCAGAGCACAAAGCGGAAAATGTAACGCGCAATAGTTAATTCAGAGTGCGTAAAACATTTTAACCAATACCTCCAAAATAACATTTAAAATCGATGCACTGTTATATAAATATACTTGTCAGTTGGAACGGCTGCTCATCTTTATTCATAAAAAAACTGCTGCCTCATAACGGAAACAATCTTGCATATAGTAGGCTGACGTTTCGGGCAAAGAACCTTTCTGGGAGCGGAAAGAGGGCAGAAAAAAATTGACTGGCCACGGCTTTAAAATGTAAGCCAACTTCGTGCCCTCTAAATTAACTATTATATTAATTCGGTTATAGGCGGTGATCGCACCTGGCGGATGTTGGCACGCATTCCTGCCTGGCGTTTGGAAAATCACAGGTCGGTGGCATGTGACCGACGGTGAAGGTGGACCGTGATCACACGGCCGGCAGAGGCATTGAAGGCATCCGCTCAGCTTTTCCCTCCGAGGCTGTCATTTGGCTTTCGGAGCAGAGGACGTGGACGTACGAGCTGCTATGCAAAGCCGCAGGCAGGGATCGCTATCCAGAGGCATGGAAATGTACGGTAGCCAAACACTCCGAAACGCGTGTTTTCTAAATGTGGAGGGAAAAACCGGAGGACCCGGTGAAAAAAATCCACGCGAACACGGGGGGAGAGAGAGAGAGACACACGCACACAAATTCCAAATATACAGCAGCAGGCGGCAGAGTCGGGATCAAACCCCCGACCTCCTGCATACCAGGCGAGGGAGTCAACACCTCGCCACCGTGGTGCCCCCTGCTGTTCCAGGACCAGGCGAAATCTCTTAACGTCGTAGCTGAGACCAACGGGGGGGGGGGAGGCAATGGCTAATTCCCAAACAAGAAGAGCCTGACCGCCGATCCCACCACGGAAACCCACTCGGGGATGGACCTACCGGGGAAGCCGTGGCCCGGGATCTGAACCGAAATCCCAAATATCGCAGCGTGCGGCGGCTGCCCCCACGCCACCGGTGAAAAAATATGGCTCTAGATTTTGGTGTTATAATTTATTTATGTAGTTTATTGTAAAAAAAAAATCGGTCACAGTCCCTATGATCACTGTTACATTGGATTTATGGCTTTTATTTTGGTGATTTCGAAAAGTTTTTTTTTGTTTTGGCCATGTTTTTGTTTATTGTAGTACGGAGTTAGACTGATGGGCTTAATCTTAGTTGTCTTGTGGTTGTT